CTGGATTCCTTCTGTGTTTTTTGGGGAAAATTCCAATTCGTTCCTAACAGCCATGTTGTGGAGCACAATCTGTGCTAAAATGCAAGAACGTAAGGATTGTGGGGGAAGACAAAACCCCTCTGTGCTCTGTTTAGGTGGAGGATGTTTGGGTCGTTCTTGTTTTCGAGTATAAACACTTAAATTGAATCTTGAGGAGAATAACTGCAAATGGCAGCAAGTATTGGTATTGGTTGCCTTTTCTTCTTCGTTGCTAGTTTTAAGCTGTAATCTCCAAAGAGAGATGGTTCAACTCTAAGTAGATGCTGGGAATAATGTAAAGTGGGGAAAAAACAAGTCAATGCAGAAACCGAAGGCTAATATTTTAATCCTTGCATATTTGGGAAGATTAGCAGATACCAGCAGCTAACTGGGAAGGAAGCTTATCTTGCCTTTGCGGTGTGTGTATGTATGGATGTGCATGTCTGATTGGAGGTGAGGGGACTGAAGGGTTCTTGGCACAGTTCTGCAGTCTTGTGATTGGACACATGGGAGTTTGTTCCCATGGGATTTAGAAACAGGTAAAATCTGACTAAAAACAGTCACAAAATGTACAGTTTCTCATACAGCTTATTCACACCACATCACATTACAACAACAGGCTTTAATGTGTGTGTGTGGGATTTTATGGACAAATTGTTGTGTATATTTCGGAAGTGGAAGAATAATGACAAGTTTTAAATGTATTTATATGTTTTTCGAAACACTGTCATCAAGAATACCAAGAAATACAGCAGATAGGTTGTGGCTTGTGAAAATGATTGAATATTTCAAGCTTTGAACACACACAGAGCACCTTTCAATCTGGTATTTGAACATGCAAACCACTAGAAACCTACCAAAACATGACCACCCAATTAAACTGAGAGGCTGAATAAATGGAGCTTTAATCAGAGGAATAGAGATTTGTTAAGAGGACAATTATCATCTACTCCACAAATGTCTCTTTCATGAAAAAGTGGCAAAAAGGAGCAATTTCTCAAGCAATGAGGTTTGCTTAGAGTTTGCCTCAAACAGTGATGAGATTAAGAACGAACTTTTTTTTACCTCTAGTCAAAAAGTCATTTTAAAAAACTGGCTCTGTATCTCAGCTTAAACACAGCGTCCATAAAAGTGAAATGTGGCAGTGGTCGCATCAAACTGTGTGCTAGCTTTCCTTCAGGAGTGTTTTGACCATTTTTGCTGGGAAGATGGAAGGACACGGAACTATAAACAGAGTAATGCTGGGAAAATGACTATTGATGTGAAAAGATCTGAGACTGAAGCAGAGGTTCACTTTTCAGGAGGAAATTCAGCCAGAGATACAACACCAGTGAATCCCTGCTGTCCTCCATGTTTGTTTGTGTCACTGCTCCACCAAATCATATTCAAAAGATTTCATTACATCCTGTTAATCACCCATTTTTAAGTTTGGAGGATATGTTTAGGATTTAGTACCACTGGTCTCTATCAAATCATATACTTGAGTTGGAACGGTCCAGTCAAAGTCCAGACATAAATCCTTTAAACTGCTCTTCACTGATACTTTCCTTCCAATTTGACTGAGAAATATTTTAGTTTCTCAATGTAGGAAAAGATTGTTTTATAAAATATTGACCCCTGGATGTTGAATCAAACATATGCTTTGCTTTTCACATTTTCATTCGTGATCAAATTTCTATATAATTACCTTCGAGTCCACAATAATGTGCTACTTTGTATTTGTCACACAGAAATCCAATAAAATGCATACGATTCTTTTGAAAGGCACTGCAGCAAATTCTCCTTTTGTATACAAATAAAGTGATTTCTGCATTAATTTTTGATTCATTTCTCTACAAAGCTGCAGTGAACAGAAATCACCATGTTTATGACAGTTACTATAGTTAAATATTTAAATGTCAGCATATACGATTCTGCTGGACGGCTTATACCTGCCCAGGAGAGATGTTACTGACTGACAGCTGTCTCTGTTTTCTCTTTTAAATTACACAAAGTACTCCTCATGTTGTATATTTGTGTTTAACAATCATTAGAAATACGGTTCCTTTTCAGGTGACTTCTCAAGACAAGTGCTCAGCTGTAGCTGTCAAAAACGAACTGCTGACAAACTCGCGATTGTTGCGCTTGCGTGCCCGAAGGAAGAGCAGTCAATGAGACAAAATGGTTCCCTTTGCTCTGTCATTGCTGGCAATTTGGCTGAGGTTACCTTGGCAACACAAACTCGGTTTTCTCACTGGGAGCGAGGAGAGACGGTTGCTGTTACAACGCGGCCACGACAGCTCTTGCTCGCATCCAAGAGCAACAGCCTTGAGTTTTGTTTTCTCTTCAGCTATATTAACACCATCAACAGGCGTGATTACAGTGATGCAGCCGGCCTGTCCATCTCACGGGAACCCGTTGACCCGCACTACCAGAGAACGGCTCTATCTTGAGCATATATCCAAATAATATCAGTAAATCTAAGTACTTTTATTTCTTCTGAACTCACTGCTGTTTGCTTTTGTGTTTTTATGCAGCCATGGCGCCACAGAGAAAAACTGCCTGGGTTTGGTTGAAGAAGTTGTGCTATTAGACAGGCTCACTGGCTCAGAAACATTTATGTTCAGATGAAGGGACAAGAGGTGCACCAGCATCATCCAGTGCACAACATTCTCTCCTGAAAGCTGACATGTATGCCTAAAATAACCACAGTATTCTTCACTCAGAATACAGACACTCAAAGTGAAAATCTTTTCTTCATTTTCTTGGTGTGCATATTTCTCACCGCATTTAATTTTCTCAACCGTCCATCTAATCCCAGTTAAAGTAAATGTTATTGAATGCAGCTGTTGCTCTGTGCTTCTTTATTCTCTCTGGTATCAGATAAAATGTGCTCGTTCCTGGTCAGGCATGAGTGACCTTTATGGATGCCTTGCAGCCCCGGCCCCTCCAGTCAGCTTTCATTTCAAACAAGCCACTCGCTTATCGGTAACCTATTACTCCTCGCAACGGTTCCTTCTGCAAACACGGCTACGGCATTCAAACACAGCAAAGAAAAATGCAAACAGTCCAAACCTCTTCTTGTATTTAAAGTCTTGGATAGTGTGGGAGATCTTTTTTTTTCTCTTACAGCTACTTTTGTGTTTTTCTGGTACTTCAGATTGTCTTGAGAAAGCAAACTGCAAAATTGGATTTACCACAGGGTGACAAACGCTACTTTCTCCAGAGGTGGATGTATTTGTCTTTTGTGTGGGTGTTTACTTTCTCCAGGCCAGCTGGGTTAATGTAATTGTGTTTAATATGCCTCATACATACCTCTGAGCGAAAACACATCCACTCTGTTATTGACTTGGTTATTTGTCACGATAAATAATGCAAATCCAATTTACCTGGCCCCGAAAATATGCATTGAATGGGAATTCTTGTCGAGCTCCATTTTGTGGAGGATTTTGCTCAAAATAATTTGAAATGCAAAGGTTCATATCTTAATCAGATTTGTCTCAATCTTCTAAATTGTTGTAAAAATCATTTCTTTTGAAGCATAAATTTTTATTGATTCAATAATTGCACTTATATAGAAGATGAGATCTCTTTTTCTTAGGAATTATTATTAATGAAACAGTCAAAACTGAAAGTGGATAGCTTACTTAAGCTTACATTAGATACAATCTTACTAATTGCAATCAATTAATATCTAATTTCTTCTGATATAAACTAAACTAAAACCACAGAAAATAAGATGGTTAAAATCCTATTGTACAATTCGTCCATTTCCGGCTTTCAGGTACTTTATTTATTGAGGAAGAATAAATCAAGACAAAAAGAAAGCGGATTTAAAACCTAAAATCAAAATGACAAAATTATGTTTTAGAGCTACTGTCTTAATCTGCCAAGCTTCGGTTTAAAACTGCCAACAACAGGAGAGTGAAAGCTGCTTTACTTTTGGCTGGAAATGTGTGTTGCTCATCTCTCTTTCCAGAAGCGTCTTGGTTTCCTTATATGCATGTTTTCTCACCCATGTATTAAATTACTTGAGGAACAAACAGCTGTGTTACCAGTTCAAGGCTGAACAAAACAGATGAATGTGTTTATTCATCCTTGGATTTTGGCCTCCTCACTTTCTAACTGGAACTGGATGACATATTTTGCAAAAGTTAAGATTTAAAGACTTGTCTGAGATGTGTAGAACTCACATTTATGAGAGAGAAAAAAAACATTTACCGCAATCAGATTTTGCATCAGTTAATTAGGCCTAGTTAATGAGTCCAGTGTAGGTGTCTTGTGACAAACACTTTCTTTCTGGTTTGGTCTACTACCATCGTCGAGGATGCAACTCCTCCTTGGAGCTCCTTCAGACTAGCTAGCAGCAATTAGCAAACACTTGGTAGAACTGCTGAGCTCATTATACAAGCTACTTCTCAGTGCAACACTGGTAAAATGTTAAAGGATTTATAGAGGAGCGATGTTATGATGACTTCCTGATGGAGGAGAGTCAGAAAGTTTCTTAAAGAGACAGAGGCCCAATTTCAAGGAGTTAAATTATGAAATTATATTTTGACATATATACCATTTTTTATCAACTTAAGTTAACGTAGTTACTTGATTGTACTATAAAATGCCGCTATGTGTTGGGGAAAGGAATAATGCTATTGTCTTCACACACAACAGCCTCTTTCAGAAGAGGAGCCATCACAAGGGACTGATCACCCAATTAGAAATGAGTTTTGGCGTAGCTACTGTTACCAGTCAATTGGAGGAGAAAACATGGTATTACCAAAATTGGACTTTCTTTAATCCAGCTGAGAGACAACTTGTGCAGCTCTGTGGTGTGGTGGTCAAATGTTTATAACAAAAACAGAAAGAGGAAACCATTTTGAATAAGCGTCTCTGATGACTGAACTCTAAAATCCAGCCAGGCAAGGAGAGTCTGTGGAGACGAAAGGTCAAAACCATCAGGTGTATTTCCCTGTGTTAAGTTTATATTTATTTTCCCCTCTCTTCAGGTGGCGTTGGCATTGCAGCCACTCAGTTGTGCAAGACTGTGAAAGATGTGACCGTGTTCGGCACTGCGTCAGCAAGCAAACATGAGGCCATCAGTCAGGGTGGGGTCACGCATGCCATCGACTATCGTACCAAGGACTATGTGGAGGAAGTTCGCAAGATCAGTCCAAAAGGTGAACGAGATCTCAGCATCCGCCAAGATTAAATGTTCTAAATTTGGATTTTTATTTTTTGGGAGGACACAGGAGAATGCAATTCAAAACACAAAACCTCTGTTTTTGATATTGGATATTTCAAGTTTTTTTTTCCTACAATAGATTTGGTGAGATGATTAATTGCTGTGCCATTTCTTTCTCAGTTTCTCACAGTTGGCTGTCAGAGTGGCAGCAAATAGGGAGTCAGTTTCCCACCAAACAAATTTTTTCTTTCTAAACACTGACGCTGTTCGCCCCAAACATAGTAGCGAGAAAAGTTATTTGTAGTTGGAACTGCTTCTAGAAAATTAACCAAAGTCCTGGTCATGCTGCTCCTGTTTCAAATATAATATAGTTTCCCAGAAAGCTCATCTCATTGGCACGTCTCCAACCTGTCTCTGTTCATTTTTGAGTCAGGCAGACATCGGAGACAGATAGGTTGAAAGCAGGAGCTGACACTTTACACTGAATGTATCTAATTAGAAGCCTGAATCAATGTGCTCACCACCAATCCTTCTATCTTTGACTCTTTTGTCAATTCATGTGTGCTCCAGTCAAGGCAGAGTCATGCTGTGAGCCTCTGCAATCAATAGGACCGGGGTTTAGCAGAGCAAAGAGGAGTAGCCCAATTTAAGGAGTTCCCTGTGGCACAAAGGAACGTCATTAAGGCAGAACCTTCAGGGCTGGACATTAATAAGCCACAGAGAAACCTCCATTGCCTGGTTTTACCTTCTGTGCAGATTGTTATACTGAAATGATAGCAACAGGGAGGCATTCATCCCTCTTGTCAGACAAGAGACATGAATGGAAAAAGCAATCGTAAAGGAAGGTTCTGTTACGTTCCTCCTGTCCTCCTTTATGAGTTTGAGTAAACATGGAGCAGCTTGGCTACATTCGCTACTCCTATTGAACTTTGACATGTGGAGGGGCAGCCTGCCAGAGGAGATCTGGCGGACTGCTCTTGCTGAATTCACAGCATAGATGACTTCCACCGTTTGCCTCCTGTGCCTCAGGGCTGGACATCATCCTGGACCCACTCGGAGGATCAGACACCCACAAGGCCTACAATCTGCTGAAGCCTATGGGAAAGCTCATCACCTATGGTAAGTGGAAATAATAAATCCAGTAGCAACATAACCAATATTGCAAAAATACAACATAGCTTGGCATAAAATGTTGCTATTCATGTTTTGCTGGTGCCAAATCTCAAACATACATTGATTCAAAGTTATTAACCAGACTTTTCAAATTAAACTTACTGTTTAATTTGCTATGCAAATTATTTTTTGAAATCAAATTAACCTCTGCCTTTCTGGATTTCTGAAAAAATTGGCAACAATTAAATATGTGACAGACAGAGGGCCAGATTTCAATCGCAAAAATCAGTAATTACTTTTCCCCCTTCTCCCCTCCATAAATATAGTTTTGTGAAAAAGTTTGCTGATTTATTCTATTGGGGGAGCTGGAAATTTAAATGCCTCCTAAACATAACACCTGCTTCTGCCACTCTTGGTATAACTGAGTCCATTTCTTCCCCCCTTTTTTTGCTGAACTGTTTCAAATTTACCCACATTGGACAGATTTCAAGCTGGGCCTGCAGAAGGTCATGACACAGTGTCTCCAAACAGTTTTAATGTCAAACTTTCACTTGACAACTCCAGAGCCTTCAGTTCTTTCTGGTTTTTAGGTTTGTTTGTCTTACCCATTCAGGTGCGTTGGGTGTCCTGCTGTGTTATCCAACTGTTTTCATGCTGTACCACTTAAGGTCCAGAAGATAATTGTTGCAGCTTTTTCTTGTTTCAAAGGTGACTCAAGACAGCATCATTTGTTTTTGGTTCTTGTAGATAAAGCCATGGCTTTTAAGACAATCAAGTTGCAACTTGAATGCTAACATCTGTCAAAAGTCACTCATTCACCATAGTATTTCTTGTGCTTCTAGTGATGTCATCTCAGAAAGCACATCATTTTTGTTGTTGTTGAAAATCTTTGAATTTTGAGACATGCAGCAGTACAGATCCATACTGCATTTCCTTTTATTTTGTTTTTATTCTCAGCGTACATGTGTTAATAAAAAAAAATATGCATCACTGGGTACTATCTTTAAATGTTCAGAGGGAAATCTTTTTCCCTTTTCAAGCTAATCTGCTTTTTAAATTTGGATTCAATAAAAATCTGATACCTAAAATGAAAGTTGGTGGTAACCTGCAGACTTTCTCTTGTCTTTGAGGAGAAGTGTCTGCAAACAGGGCATTCCTTCTCGGAACACATCAGCTACATATTCACATTATCAAACCAAATTCTTTACATTCTTATCCCTTTGGACTACAGCTGGAATTCATCCTGAGGAATCCACACTATTACATTTTTTGACTTTTATGTAGCAACTGCATAAAGAACAATTAGTTGCTGCTTTTTCCAAAAAATTTAAAAAACCGGTCCCCCCTTGATCTTTCAGGCTGGCTGTGAATAAATAGAATAGTTGTGGGTTTCACACTTGCCGCAGAGTAAAAGCTGCTTTCTAGTGGGCGGATTGGCCTCTCTGTGGAGGCCCATGTCCTCAGTGAGCTGTGTGTCATCCGTGGGAAGCCCTTTTACGCTCCCTCTGTTACAATGCAAATCCGAATGCATGCATGGAGTGGGCGGGGTCGGCATCCGTGGAGAACAGGGCCTCGCCTTTTTTTGCGTGTTGCTCAGAAAGCCCCTACCCAGCATGGTGCCCTCCAACCTCAACCATTCAGCCTCTCCAGTCCCTCTGCGCCGGGCTGCTTCTCCTCCAGCTTATCAGAAGTAGGCACGGTGGAACAATGGGGTGTTCTATCTGCATGAAACCTGGAATGTGTGTGAATACAGCGGGCCGGGTCCCTCGGTTCTCTCAGAGCACGCTTTGTCCATACCACCCTCACCCCCACCCTTTTCCTCCAATCCAAGGAACGCAAAGATTGAGAGTAGAGAGACCGTTAAGTGAACCCGTAAGGAGGGGGTCTGGAGGAGGATGTGATGGCAGTGGTCGCTGAAGTGCGAAAGAGGGTTTTGAGGGTGGGAAAATAGGCGAGAGACAGAGGTGAAACAAAGAAAAGCGGATGGCTCTCATTGCCTAAGTGAGATGTGACATTTCAACATCACCACTTTTGACTTTTTTAAAGAGGCACTATTATGTCAAATCAACTTTTTTAAAGCTTATTCCATCATCAAAAATGTGTCAAAAACAAAATTTCTTATATTTGAGATGTTTAATTTTCCATGGGAACTACTCAGCTGTGTCAAACACTTGGTGGGACCAAGCCCTGCCATCAAGAACAAAGTTCCTCCTTGGGGCTACAAGGAGGAGCCCCACTCAGCTCCTTCAGACTAGTCACCCACAGTTAGCAAACACCAAGTTGAAGTGCGCAACTTCTGAGCTCATTGTACGAATATCTTCTTACTGTAAAGCTGGTAAAAAAAGGTTGACAGATGAAGGATGTCGTGATAACTAGTCAGCCACAGTTGAGGCTGACTATATATATCTATCTATCTATCTATCTATCTATCTATCTATCTATCTATCTATCTATCTATCTATCTATCTATCTATCTATCTATCTATCTATCTATCTATCTATCTATCTATCTATCTATCTATCTATCTATCTATCTATCTATCTATCTATCTATCTATCTATCTATCTATCTATCTATCTATCTATCTATCTATCTATCTATCTATCTATCTATCTATCTATCTATCTATCTATCTATCTATCTATCTATCTATCTATCTATCTATCTATCTATCTATCTATCTATCTATCTATCTATCTATCTATCTATCTATCTATCTATCTATCTATCTATCTATATATATATATATATATAACAGTTACTTGTTTGTGCTATAAAATGGAAAATGCATAATACTGCCCTGTTGAACACAATATTACTACCAAATACTAAAACACAATATGTAAAGTTAATGGAGTCAAGTTTTACATTGCGTCTGTTCCTTCAGGTGCAGCCAACATGTTGGCGGGTCAGAGGAAGAACCTGATCGCCGTGGCTAAGAACTGGTACCATCAGTTCTCCATCCACACGCTCAGCCTTATTCAAGGCAACAAGTCAGTGTGTGGATTTCACCTGGGCTACCTGGATGGGGAGATGGAGCTCATCACCCAGGCCATGAACACCATCCTGGATCTGTACAAGCAGGGCAAAGTCAAGCCACGCATCGACTCCACCTGGCATCTTGAGCAGGTCTTTAATTTTTGCTATTTCCATCTCAATTTTTCACACCTCTAATACATTGACTCAGAGTTAATGTTTTTAACAGGCATTCCAAAGACAAGTTAAAAAAACAACAACAATATTCTGGTATTTCTAATTTGATCTTATTTATCAAGCATTGCAGTTGGGTTCAGTTTAATGTTCAAAAGTTTCCCATCAAAGGAAACCCATCAGATTGCCCCAAGTCACTTTTAGATAGACCAATGAGAAAGTGTTGAGCTCAAATTGATCAATTTCAGGTTGTTTATCATTCAGTCGGTTCTACATTCACATCAGAGAATTCAGCCTGTTTTCATAGTGAAAACAAGCCTGAAACATCTGCAACCCGCTGGCATCTGATGATTGAACAGAAGGATGAAAGCTCTCAGTGATTTGTTGATTCTACAGGTCTGACAAGGAGCAGGGGAGTGTGGCTTGTGAAATTGATTTATTGTAAGTAATCTCAGTTGTTTCTAGATTTAGCAAGGAGAGCAGGGTGGATTATCAAGTAAGGTCAAGTTTCTTCAGATAATTTTTATACACTTAATAAATAAAATTATGATTTGACAACCTTTTGTATTCACTCAGGTTTTCTTTGGCCTATAATAAAAGTAGGGAGAAATCTTTGAAGGGCCAGCTTCGTTTTTTTTTGTTTTGTTTTGTTTCGTTGGGGTTTTTTCCAGCGCTGTATATCAAGGTTTTAAGATGTTACAGTTTTATAACTACAAACATTTTCTTCCAGATCATTTCCACTGTTTAAAGTTATTTTAATGTCTAAAATAGTCCAAAAGTATCATTTTATGTTTCAGTACTTCTGGATTTGGACCTGTATGAGTTTACATTAACCTACACAGATTTAGTGTTATAAGAAGCTTCTTATTTGCTATTTTGAAAAAAACTTCATTAAACCGAGCTAAAACTATAATTTAGGTCTTTTCTTAATTTTTACAACATTATTTTTGGATCTGTATCCTTTTTTGATTTGGCTAATTTGTGCTCAGAAGTGCATTTCCGTAAAGAGATCTGGATCTGGATCTGGATGTTAATCTGATTGAATCCATCCCTCCTCTTCTTGCTCTGATTAATCTAATGTGACTGGACTGCAATCATTTCTGAATTACATTCATTTTTACAACTTGGAAGCACTCTGAAGACACGTTAATGCCAGGTAGATTTTGTGTCTTTGTGTGCTTGTTGGTAGGATCTGCAGCAGCAGCTGGGCGTGGCCCTAAGGCTCACACTCAGAGACAGAAAGTTGTCCACAAGACACTCAGTGTCTCGTGCAGCATAAGTCACTGGGGCCGACAGGCTCTGATTGTTGCAGATGAATTAACAGTGCTAATAGATATGAATAGAGAAGGAGAATGGATAAAAAAGGGAGCGTCATAAGGACATCTTCTGTTGTCAAAATCGGAGCTGGTCAGTATTTTGGTTGGCCAGAGAGAAACACCCGCTGTCTTTCTGCACCATCTGATGCCCTTTCTCTCCCTCTCCATCTGTCTGCTCTTTATATCTGATTCTTCTTCTTTTTTTTTTTTTTTTGCCATGCTTAGGTTATTGACTCCCTCTCTGTCTCTCTCACTATCTGGCTTTATTCTCTGCTTTATTCTCTGCTTTCTCCCTGTTCACTGTGTCTCTTTTTTTTCCTCTCTTTCTCTCCTGTTGCTATGGTGACATCCTTTAGTCAGCGTATGCGTCTATCTTAGGGAGGGGCCCTGATGTGTGGAAGAAAAAAAAAAAAACATGATGTGGAGATACAGAAAAGAGATGAAGGTGGATGTCGTGTCTCTTGGTGTAAAGCTCACGGGTACCGCATATGTCTGCTGACACCGATACTCCGGCGCGAGGCGTCACAAAGACAAAAAGCTGCCAGGGAAGGAGCAGTGGATGAATTGTCTTAACCCGGGTATAATTGCCACGCCCTGACCTCATTCATCACAACCCTTCCCCCTTGTCTGTACTTGACTTACGAGAGAAATCTGTAAACCACCAAACGTTTAGAAATTAGCATGACCGTCTCATCCTGCAGATCCATAAGCTGCAATTCTCTGAAAAAATATTTTCATGTCTTCCATTTTTGCCTTTCTTTTTGTCACTTTTCAAATTCCGATTTTATGAATCAACAGATGCTCAGTGTGGAAAAAGTTACTGCCATCCCATGCTCAGTCGTAAATGAAAAGATTAACCACTTTTATTTTGGTTCGACCTGCCTGACTTGACGAATCAACATGAAGTAGGTTATAAGAGTTAAAAAGGCAAAACATCATGATCCAGTCTTAATAAATTATACAGATAACAAAGTCACTGAGCTTTAGCAATCTGGAAAGAGTTCTAAAGCCATTTCTAAGAGTTTTCATTAGCAATCAGAAAGAAATCCAATATGACATTAAAAGCACTGTAGACTTGAATGGAGTTCATCGTACAGATCCAAGGTAAAAGCAGTTGTTGGAGCCATTAATTTTGCTCTTCAGCAGAAAACTCTCAAGGAGAATGTCTTGCCTTAAGACCAAATTTAAAAAACGACCCTGTTTGTAATCGATTAAATTTGCAAACAGTTTTTAGGCTTAAGGTGCAATTACTTTGTTAAACAGACTATAAGCCCAGACCTGTCCTGGGTACCTATTTTTCTAAAATTGCATTTTGCTTTTACACAATTTTAATTTGTCTGATGTTTAAATTTTGTTTGATTTCAAACATTGCAACTTGGGCAAAAAATACTAAATCTGTAAGGAGGCAACAAGATTTTTATTGCTCTGATCTTTTGCACAGATAATCATCTTGCTAAAGATTTTAGAGCTGAATATTTAAATAAAGTTATTTTATATTGCTTAGCCTACTTATTGAAGATAATTTTTCATTAATTTAAATGATATTAAAAATGTCTGAAAGTCTCAAATGTAACTTCCATAAACATGCTTAAACTGAGATTATGAAAGGGTTTGATTACTAAAGATGCTAAGCAGAATACACCGGCTAATAAAGAGCAATGACTTTTCATATCTTGTAAAAAATGTTGGTGCAGGAATTTATTTTAGTTTGCAACAATTCAATGTCTTCATTTGAGTCCAATCCACATTGAACTGTTTACTAAAAGGAAGTCGTTAATCTTTATTTTTACAGGCTCAGTTCTGTAACATAACTGCTTCATCTTTGCATTAAGGAATTAGTCTTATGGTGTTTTTTATTTGTTTTTTGTTTTTTGTTCAGATGATTTCTGGGTGAATGTCAAATCAGTTCACTATTACAGCTATTTGTTTTCAAAGACTTGCACCAATTGACGAGTCCCAGCAACATGCAGGGCAGTACACCAAGTAATTTCTGGTAACTGTGTTGCAGTATGAAATCCCGGGGCCTTTCCCTCCATCCACTGTAGTAAAAGTTCCTCCAGCAATAAATGATGTGCAGCAGTTGTTCATAGATGGGACAAGTATTTGGAAAACAACTCAAGTTGTTGTAAAAATGTCCTCGTATTTACTTTATAGTCTGCTGAACAGTGATTCTGCCATTTCAAGCTTTTTTAATATTTCTAAATCTGGATCTTTTATTTAGAATGTAACCTACAGAAACGTCCCACATGTGACAGAATAGTGCCTTGCTAAAAGGCCTCTTGAACTTCCTCACTTTGTCACCTTGCTACTACAAGCTTTATTATATTTTACGGAGGATAATAAAACAGTCTGGCATACATTTCTATCCAGCAGCCCTCAATCAAAATTTAATGGAGCCACTTCTTACTGGATTTACCTCCACAAGTCTTTTGGTGAAGGTTTCAGATTTTCACATGAAGAGAATTCAATTCTTTCCCATTTTGATTTGAAAGACAGCTCAAGCTCAGTCAGATTAGAAGAAAAGCATCTGTGAACATCAACTTTCAAGTCTTGTCTCCTACTCTCAGTTGGATTCCAATCTGGACTTTATCTTGGCTGGGTTGTTCTTAAACATGAATATGGTTTGATGTAAACCATTAGATTTAAAATTGTCCTGCAGGAAAGCGAACTTGCCTCTGAATTAGATTTAAGTGTTTTGTTTTTTAAGCTTCTAACAGGTTTTCTTCTGAATTTAGCCATCGTCCCATTAACTAGTTTGCTTCTCTGTACCTGCAGATGGAAAGTGTCTCCACAGCATTATTTTCTTCCCACTGTGTTTTACCATTGAGTTGGTTAGTTGATGCTAGTTGTTATGGTTAATTCTCCACCACAAAATCTAGAGTTAATATTTCTACATTCAAAATCAAATTAAATCTTATTTGTATAGCACCATTCAGCAACAATGCATTTCACAGTCAACAATTGAAACATTTTGCCATCGTTACACATCAGATTGTTGATTTAATGTTTTATTGATTATGTTTTATTCAACTTCACTTTTTTAAATTGTCTAGTTTGTCTAATTTAAATTGGATATCTCAGATGTTTGGCAGAATTTGAGTTTATCTGAAGAATTTTCAGTGAAACGCCATGTAATATTTTAACTTCTGAAACCATAAACAACTCAGAGAAGTTTGACAGTACAACATAAGAAGCATTAGAGTGAAATGACAAGACATCTGTGTACTTCTCCGCTTGGTGTTTTATGTGCAGTTGGTGTACCTGAGATTTGGGCAACTGTTTGGATTTTCAAGAGAGTTGATTGAAAGACTATCGGCTACTTTCACTCTCATAGAAAATGATTTTTATAATTCTTGAACTTATCCCTCGGCTTTTGTCTGAAGGATACCAGTTGCGCCGAACCCCTCCCTTCGCTTCCAGACTCCCACACTCCCTCTCTTGCCCTCCTCCGTTCCCTCCTCCGTTCCCACGTGTCAAAGTCGTCAGAGCCACGTTTCAGCCAGGCTTTACGTTGCTATGAGATGGCCCTGTTGCCTTGGCATTGGTCGTTAGGTGGTCTGCCTGCCTTGAACAAATCGGGCGGGGGATCGGAGGGAAAAGGAAGAGGGGGTGTGATGAAGACAGGAACAGACAGTGGACAGAGCTCAGTGGTCAAAAGGGGAGGAGGGTGGAGCAGATCTTGGCTGCGATCCTCCACTCATCATTATGATGGAAAGCCACTCGGTCAATTTATCACTGCATGCGTGGGGGGTTTGAGGGCAGTTGTTAGAGGAGAGCATTTAGTTTTGCAGGAATATTTTGCATTATCTTCTGCAACAGGCACCAGCATGTATATCTGCCCTCGTCAGGATGAATGGGCGCGTTTTAAATGATATGTACACATCTTTAAGTCTTAAAATAGAACTAACAAGACCATCTGTGCAGCATTTGTGCTGCTGGTAGTTTGATAGCAATAATGTGCATTTCCCTGAGGATCACTGAGCCTACATTAGACTTAGACATCCATTATTTTACCTTCTCAACCTGATTTGATTCGTATTTTAAATTCTCATTTTTAAAACTGAGCAAGCACTTAGATGTATTTTTAAAATAAGAACTTTTTCTGTAGCAGATAAGAAGGACTGCAGATAGTTTTTATGTTATGTAGATTAGAAATGTGAGATTTTAGCAAACATCCCCAAGTTTTGTCTAAATTAGTTCATTTAGCAGTCAAAATTATAAGCTAACATAGACAAACATATGTTGACAAAGTCTTTTTAATTGGTCCTCAGCTTCTCATTTCTGGGGGTTTGTTGCTTCTACAACAAGAATGTGTGTAAAACTTAATTACAGATGAGGACGTAATAAAATATAAACTCACCGACAGCAAAAAGAGGTAAGACTATTTCAGTGTAGGTTTATTTGTTGATTCATTTGTTGTGGTCTTTTGTGCTGCCTTGAAATGCTCAATTTGAACTTCCACAGTCTAATTGCCAAATATGTCTCGTTAAAAGAGGACGTTAGATTTGAAAAGAGAGTCTCAGTGGCTTAACGTAAGCCTGTCGGCTTTTAATTTTTGCTTTTGCCAACAGTGAAAACTCAAAGGCATTGATGCACCAATCACAATTATTCTAGTGTTGTTTAAGGCTTTGATTCACCAATACTAATATCCAGTGATTTGTATTTCTCTTTAAGAACTTTCATAGAAGAAATACAAGTGCAACTTTCAACTGGGAGTTGAGTCAACGTCATACCACTCTCACGGCAGTGGAGTGGTTGTAAAATAGGGTTTGACCAACATTTTGAAACAAAGATAAAAACCATGGCAGAGGTGAAATTTTCAGTGGTTTCTGAATCTTATGTTAGTGATTAGTCGTTTTAGCTGCCCTAGCTGTAAACAGGAGTCTTTGCCTTTATTCCCCAATGAGAATGTAGCTCATTATTTCAATTCCTAGATTTTCAAGTGCTTTTCAAATCTACATTTTCAAATCTAACATCCTCCATAGCTGTCAGAGGCTGAAAAACAACCGTTTTTAAAAAGAACATCTTTGATTTACTTCCTGCTATCTTCAGGAAAATCTTGCTCTCTCACCCTCAGAAAATGTTTCTTCTTAAATGGTTTCTTAAATGTTTCTTTTAATTTTATATTTAAATATACTAAAAACAACTTTAATTGTGTCTGCCCAGAAGGCTGTTGCTGTCAGTGCGACTTTGAAGGACTTATAGATATTACTGGTGCATCAGATGTGGCACATTTCATACAAATGTGCAGCCATTCAATTTTGAAAAAGTTGCATTAAAGTTGGACATGTAAACTTCTTGGTTTTTATACCAAAACACCCACCACACACTTTATAATCAGAAGTTGCATAAGTTTAGATTGAAATAACAGCTGGCGCTGAATATAAGTTTGTAAGTTTTAACTTCATGAGTTTAAATAACAAAAATACAATTTTTTTCTAATAAATACATGTGACCCATGTGATTCAACCACTGGTAAAACAAATAGAAAAGGAAGTTTAAAGTCTTAAATAAAAAATTTGTAATCTTACAAAAACTATTAAATAAACTGAGGTGGCAATGAAATATTTGTTTTTGTTTGATCTCTAGATTCATTTTTTCTTTGGCTTTATTTTATTTTATTTTTTTGTCATTTTCCTGCCATATTTTTGCTTGTTGCAAGAGTCAATAAGAATTTAATTTCCTTTCAGACATTAATAACATCTCATATTCTTCATATTTGAATATAAGTCTGAGTGAGTTTTGTAGGCAGCTGTATTAAATAAGCAGATTAGAGATAACAGGCTTGCACAGCAGCAGATAATACATTGGATTTGTTTGAGAGCGACATGGCTTCTTCTTCTCATTGAAAGACGAATGTCTTTGTGCTCTTTGCTTTATTTGTCCTGTCATCCAGCTTTCTCTGATTGTCCAACTCTCTTCCTTCAGGTTGGCGATGCCATGAGGAAGATGCAGGAGAGGAACAACATCGGCAAAGTGATCCTCACCACCGAACCCATGCCGGAGGAGGAGAAGAAGGAAGAGGCCAAGAAGGAGGACAAGAAAGAGGACAAGAAGAAGGAGGATAAGAAGAAGGACGACAAGAAGAAGGACGATGGAAAGAAGGAGGAGAAGAAGGATGACAAGAAGAAAGAGGAGCCTAAGAAAGAGGAGAAGAAGGAAGAGCCCAAGAAGGAGGAGGAGAAGAATGATGAGGCCAAGAAGGAGGAGAAGTGAGAGGGAAAGATGGATAGTCAAGCAGACCAGCAGCAGGGAGTTTGTGTCCTGGGAGCAGGGGAGGTGGCAGGGATGAGCTTGGTGGTGGAGCTGCAGGGGGATGGGGGTGGAGTGGTTGCAAAGATGGGAAGGAGTTGGGATAAATTGGACATTTACCTCCCTTCTGCCTCACCTACTGGGTGATTTACTCAGGCATGGCTGCTCCCACCTCCCGTTTCCTCTTCTGTCCCTCATATTTACCTCTTAAAAAAAAAAGAAGAAAAAAATCTGATCCTTCAGACCCCATGTATGCTCTAATCACATCTCCCACCCTCTGCCCCTCACAGTATTAATCGATTTTTGCTATTGGGAATCAAAGCATCAGGAGAGCTGTGGAGGATGGTGGGTTTGGTCCGAGCCTGGGGGCAAATTACCATCTCCCTGACAACCGTAATCTCCTTTCACACTCCGGCCCCACCCTTGACCCTCCGTGCCCCCTCTGCATCTCGACTCCCACCGTGTTAAATTGTTCTGCTCTGACTTCCACCTGCCGCCTCCTCCCTCCCCCCTCACTGTGCTGAGTCCCCCCCACCCCTCACCAACACACACATCTCCCACAGCATCACCACCACCACCCCAACTCACCCACGAGCCGGACCCACAGACAGGCACCGAAGGCAGGCAGATAAACCGAGAACCACACCCACCCATCCGCACTTGTTTTCTGTGTCCAGCTTAGTTATGTCACTACTGATGAGTCAGAGATGCTTCTGATTGGCTGTTGCTCCTCATCTTCCCTGGAGATATTTTCATTGTAGTTTTTTCGCTCATCATGTTTAACTACGTAGAAAAAAAAATTATTAAAGCTTCAGAGCAATGGAAACTCTTTCCCATCAAATTCCACCCGAGTTCATGTCCTTGCTTTTCCTCTCATAATGAGCCTCTCTGTGCTCTGTTGAATAGCCTGGCTGATATTATTTTCCAGCTTCCTTCTCCTTAGTTACAGATTTTTCTAGCCGACCAACTGTTGGCAAGAAGTTCAGGGTGCCAATTAAGAGAGAAATTGTTTCTGTGCAAACACACAGACATGCACGCTCCAAATGCGATGAAAGAGCCGCTGTCGCACCAAGACAGCGAGGCGCTTGAAGTGAGCAAGTGAAGAGGGTGAAGGGTTTTTTTTTTTTCTTCTTCTTTCGTTTTTTTGTTCTCCTTTGCTCCGGACTTTCTTTCCTCCCTGAACCTCCAAGAGGAATTTCATTGCATTCCTCGCTTCTTTTCGATCACAGTGACCCAGGAGAGGCAAATTCAGCCGGCGCTGTTGTCCGCGCTTCGCCTCCCCACCTCCTCCCTCTTCCTCCTTCCTCTTCCTCCTCTTTCTGTTTCCCTCTTTGTGGTCGGCATAGCAACAGGCGTCAGGCTCGTCAGAGATGGCACTGTGGTTTCTCTCTCTCTCTCCTTTTTTTCTTCCCTCTCTCTGTGTCTCCTTCATGCTCTTCTGACTCTGCGTTTGCCAGCAGTTGGTGCTGTCAGCCGGTATTTCAACAGGTTGAAGATGTTTTAGTAATATGAATCAAAACAGCAGGCCAGGCTGTTTTTTAAAGCATTTAATATCACTCGACTAGCCTTATTTCAACTCTGTCTAAAGTCTAACATGTTACATTGATAGTTGGGTTCGTAACTGTGGCTATTAATGTATAATATTACATTTACATTTAAAAAAAAGCTAAAAAAAAAAAAAAAAAAAAAAAGTAATTTTAACAACTCCAGCGGTGTGAAGAAGTATTTTCTTCTTCTTTTCCTTTCTTTTAACCACATTAAACAGTTCATCAAGCAAATCAATTATAATTAGAATGAATAACAACATCTAGTTTTCAATCGATAATTTTATTAAGGGAACAAAGCTATCCAAATCAGTCTGGCATTGGGGGAAAAAGCAATTGTCTGCTAAATTTAATAACCCTGTGTCTAATAACTGGTTATGCCACCCTTGGCAACAAGCACTGCCGTCTCGCATTTTCAATAACTGGAAATTAAGTTGGTTGTTTTTACTTTGTACCATTTGACTTTGCAGAATTATTTTAATTCTTTTTATTTGTCCACTCTCCCTTGGATGCCACTTTTGCCTAATCTCTTATTATTGAATCGTGAACGCTGACCTTAACTAAGAAAAATCGCTTCTGCAGTGCTTTAAATGTTGTTCCTGGTTCTTTGTGACATCCTGAGTGAGTCATTGATGCGCTCATGGAGTCATTTGGGTAGACCCAACACTCTTTGGAAGGTTTACGACTGTTCCATGTTTTCTCCATTTGTGAGTAACGACTCTTACTGTGGTTCACTGGAGTCCCAAAACCTCAGAAATGGCTGTGAACTTGTTTAGGTCGGGGTGTGATGTGCTTCATTCCTGTTGTCAGATTTTCTCATTTTGATCAATACAGAGTGGCTGAAACTAAACTCTGCATTTTGAATTATTACTTCTGTATATGCAGTCTGATTTGGATACCTTTTATTCTTAATAAGTCAGTATTTAAAGTTTTTATTTAAAGAGGTTACCATAGCCTGATATTAGGATGTGTTTAATGATGTGAAACATCTAAGTGTAACAAAAAGAAAAAAACAGAAGAGAAACATTTTACATGACACTGTGTCTGCCAAAAGGGTGGAGATGATAAATCACGTGATAAAATTCAGCTTTTCTTTCTACCTGTAACTACTAGCTGTTCTACACAGTGCTAATGCTTGTGTGAAGTCACTGTTCAGTTTCTAATGCCAACAGTGTGTGTCAGTGGCCCTTCGTTTGCTTGAGTCGCACACTGCTGCCCCGCTTATGGACATTGAAATTTTCATCTCAGAATCATCGTCTTTAAACATGACACCCTTACTGACTACCTGCCTGCCTGCCTGCCTCTGGATCTGGCTTCAGTGTTCAGACTCAGATGGTGACTAGTGACTTTGTAAAAAACAAACAAAAAAAATCTTTCCAAAAAAAAAAATGTGTTGGCATGAGTGGCCTCCCCCATGTGCTGTGTGTGGTGTGCCATTGTGTGTGAAGACGTGTGTGTCCTCAGGTCGTTTGTCAGGTTTTAAAATCACTCGCCCTCCCTGCCACATTTCCACCTCACACTACTCTGCTACAGAACGACGTAGCTTCACATCGACCCTCCTCCATCTCTCCCTCCTGTCTGATAAGAGGCCTGTGTTATGAGGACAGTTGGTATTAGTATTTTGCACTCTGCTCGCTGATCTTAATGCACTTGCAAGCATGGCGGTGGCACTCCAGTCTCAGCCTGGCTTTGAGTTGTCCTCTTTCTTTTCTTTTTTTTTTGTTGCTCCAGATTTGCAGCCTGTTTCTCATCCTTTCAGAACAGGTGGCACAAACGCATCCAATGTTTTAAAGGTTCCACTCATGTGCCCTAACTTTTCAAATGCGTTCATTCTTTCTTGGCTGTGAGAAACAAAACGCGGAGCTGGGTAAGATGGACTGGAGTGCGACCGCCATACTGGTGTGGGGAGTGATTGTGCTCTGTCAGCCTCTGGTTAGTGTTCTGTTCTAATCTGCTGGGCTCCCTTTGTGAACCTGTGGACGGTGCTTCTGTTCCGAGTGCCATGTGAGAAACAATTGCTTCAGTTAAAAAAAAAAAAAAAGAAAGAAAGAAAAGTGTTTTACTTACTATGTTATTTTTGATTTACCTTTATATTTTTGTTTTGTTTTGTTTTTTGTTATCCAAGGGTTTAAAGTTCAAAGCTCATACAGTACTCTGTGGGGACCTGCTAACCTGCACTCCTTTTAAATGTGATAAAGTTTTTTTTTTCTGTTGGTCCAAACCATGTGTGCCAAATTGTATGTATATTCCTCTGTCAATGCTTTGAATATTAACAGTGCATAAAAATATATTAAAAAAAGAATCTGCCTCAGGATGCATTTCCATCAACCCAGAAATGGGTCAAAAATTGCAGATATGCACCAGTTTTGTATATCAGGGAATAATGGGACTTTTTTTCAAAAAGTTTGTGGCTTTTAATTGGTTGCTCAGACTAAGGTCTGTTTCTGTTTTATCTTCATTCAAAAAGATTACCTCTACAAAAATTAAATGATCCTACAACTAAAAGGAAAGAGAGATTAGGACTCAAAACGTCACTAGATTTCCTCAAAATCCAAAGCTTCGCCGCATTCTTCTGTGCATATGTTTCTGCCAGCGTGTTTGCAAATGGTCCGTATAGCAAAGTGAGGAAAACAGATGTTCTCACACAGCTGTGCAGTGATGCAGATACTGTAAAACAGCCCAACAAGGCCCCAGCTTATTGGCTGATCAGCCCCAGCCTGCCCCAGACGCAACATTTCCGCTTTACAGCCTCTCTTTACGTTTGCTGAAGGTTTGTAAGTCTTTTCTCTCTTCCTGCGCTGCATCTGCAGAGCTTCTTGGCCCATGCAGTAGTTTAGCAGCCAGCCAACAGTCCTCCCGGTATAAACCTCTTTCCCTCTGCACTCGCTTTCACAGAGAATAAAACATCATTTTGACATCTGGAATTTGATATTGCACGCATCCATCTGCATGTGGAAAACAGATTAGTTTTTTTTTTTTATTCTTCCAGAATTTCCCCAATGGTTTAATGGAGCCAATGCCTTTGAGATGATCTTAATCAGTGAGGCGGTGCTTCATGTCTGGAGTTTGAGCTCAAGTGGATCTTTTGGTTAAAAGCAGGCCCACCCCCTTCCTACTTTGGTCTGCCGTCTGGAAGCTCTTCCACTATGGTGAAGCTGGATTGTATGTCATCTTGAAGTGGTTTCCCAGTCATTCCAGACACTTATGCAAGAGAAACGCAGAGATGTACAGCTGGGGAGGAAAAAAAAGCTTTACAATGTAAAAATAGGCAACGCGTGGTCATTTTCCTAGATGGGATGGCGCCAATTAAAACCCGTAAATTAGGGCATGAAGACAAGCGTTGAGGTCAGTATTTCAAATCATCATCTTTCTCTCTTGTTGTGTCACTAAAGTTCCTCACAGAAACGTCGCTGTCGAGCTTTGAGGTGATTTTTAAAAATAAATATATTTTGTTTTATATGGTTTCTCAGGTCATTCCAAACTGCAGTTTTCCTCACCACTAATACACACACAGCAGTTCCACGATGTTCATGATACAAACTCCAACTGCATGATTGTCCTTCACAACCTCATACCATGTGAAAGAAGGATTAGCCAGTGGCTCATATTCACTCAAACATCTGCCTGCAGCTCTTAAGTGCTTCGCAGTCTCTTTTAAGAGTAATGCATTGCAGAGATGCTAAGAAAAAGCACAATCTGCCAGGACCTTTCATGTACAGTACAGTATTAGAATGCATGTTTAGTCAACCAGAAAATAAAGCACATGTGTGTAGCTTCTCATCAGTTTTCCATAGCATTGTGGTGTGAAGGAGGAGAGTGCCAGTCCACCGCCGAGTCCCTGCTCTCACCTTCAGCACCGGCATTGCCAAGGCCAGCTGGTAAAGCCGTGTGACATCTTAACCTATCCCTGGGAATGCTTCGGAAAAACTCACTTCACAACCCTCCTCTTGTTAGCTTTGTCAGCACTGGTCATTTTCTACAGCGGATACCCAACAGGTGACTTCCACATTCCCTTCGCTCTGATGTTTTTTGGGTTAAAAAGAGAAAAGCAAAACAGAAAAACACACTCCTCGTCCTGACTTTGTTTTTTAAACCCTTTGAACTGATGCTGCTTCTGTGCTTGACTCTGGGTTTACTGCGTGGTGCCATGCTGTCCACATGGCCTTTAGAGCTTGTAACGCTTCAGTGTGTAATGTTACCATATGCCTTACATGTTTTCCAGGACTAATAAAAAAAGCATCAAAAAAGTCAGGAAATGTGCTCTTTTTATTCATATTTATACCCTCCAGTATTTTGCAACTGGATAGATGGATTGTGGTTAATCCCACACAGAATGCTCCAAAGTGCTTATCTTTACAGTGACGTGCACATCATACCACAGAAATACACTCGTATAAAAACTGAATTAGTTGAAATGGTAAAAAAAAAAAATAAAGGTTTAGAAATGCTATACAAAATAATCCAAACTGTGACGTTGGGACATTAAACATTCACAGATTCAAGCATGTCCTTAAAAAAAAAGCCATTAGTTTAAAAAATCTAAAAAATATATACATATTTCCATTCTCAATTCTGTTATTTACATTCATAGATAAATAAGGAATGACTGACATTTTACAACATAATACAATAAGACAAATGACTAATACAGTTGAAATTATATTAAAAACGTACATGTATAAGTAATTTTTTCATTTTGGACCTTGCTGATGGCTACACAATCCCTTTAGAAGCCAAGATGCTGGACAAACGTGTCAAGTATGTGGGGTCTGGGTACCCTTTCCTGCAAGAGACAAAATAAGAACAAATTAGCTCAGATTTGTCGATAAACAGCAGTGACTTGGAGATTCAAACTGCATTCACTCACGCAGATTTGCCTCCATATAAGCTGGTTTTGTGTGGGATGCAGTCCCAGACGACCTTGGCCTCTGTCTCTTTGCCTGCCACTGTGAAGGTGAGGCCCCCCCTGAAGGCTTTTTCCAACCGGGGAAGCAGCTTCTTCGCATCTTCATTGTCTGGGAGGTAGGCCTCGAATATCGCCCCCTTAAATGGTTTTCCAGGTGATGGATGGCCCTCCTGATCACAGATAAATCACATTAGAACCAGAGTGGTAAGATATACAATTGATAGGACAGTACTAATGAAATAGCTATAACCCATTTGCAGTCACTGACACTTTGGGTAAGCTTGTGAAAAAAACACTTTTCTAATCAACTTAGTTCAATATTTCTGTTGATTTGGTTTAAAATTGACCTACTGAAAGACCCAGAGATGGTCCATTTTTAGTTTTCTGGCAAAAGTCTCGAGACTTTCAAATAAAGGGATAGTATAGTGTAATTTCTAGGCAAGTAGTCCCATTTTATAGCACAATATAAAATGGGACTATGTTGTATTCAGTTGTGTTAAAAAGGCTTTACATATGAAATATAAGATAGAAGAAATTTGTTTGACAACTTGAAATTTGCCCCCGTACTGGTAGTTTCGATCACAATTATCCCCATTAAATGGACGCCAATGTAGAAAGAAACTTAAAAAACTTTTTTCTTTACATAGTTGAGACCCTTAGATGAAACTTGTATCTCTAACTGCAGAGGTTATGCTCTTAGCTTGTGAAAAGTTCTTTTTTTCTTGTGAAAGAAGTTTATATTCATTTTGGAATTTAGGTCTATTTTACTTTGGAAATGCAGGTTTTGAGTAACATCCTTGTCTTAGTTGCTTTCTCAGTAACAGAGAAAGCCCTATCAGTCTTTCTAAAAGATAAAACAAAAGCTCTTTATCAGATTATAGCGACATAAGATTCTAAGTAAACTACTCACCCCTTGGATACCATTAGGAATGCGGTAAGTGATCTTGATAACGCCGTCCTTGTGTTGACCTGGTAAACTCATGCTCAGTTTGGATTTCTTCATTTCACCGCAGATGCCTCGCGATGTCTGCTCTACCTGACTGCAGACTTTGCAGTAAGAGTGCAACGTCTCCAGGCACTCTGGGCACAATGTGACTCCACACTTAGTCGTCACCAATGTTGTCTTCTCCTTCCCACAAAAACAGGTCTGCTCGTCCAGACCTGACTTCGACTTCTCTGAGATGCTCTGGGTCTCTGCAGGTGTACAGTTTGTAGTATCTGGTCGGTTAGCTTGTAATGTTCTCTCTTTCTCACCATTCAAAGGATTCTTTTCAACTATGTTTCCATCCTGTTTTTTCTTGAAGAGAAAGTCTTCTGGTGATGATTGGCTATTTGATCCATTCACAAGCCCTTTCTGACCAAAATCTCTACCATATGTTGTTTTCCATTGCTGACTCTCACTGTTCCCATCAACTATCCCAGCGTGGGTGGATTTTAGCACCTGATACGCACTGTCTGGGGCTCGTTTTCTGCTTTGGGTTGGATTCAATGGTAAAAATTGGTCAGAGAAGTCGTGCTGTTCGGGTTCTTTAGAAAATACCTCCCTCAGCGTAGCAGCAACCTGGGAGCACAGCTCTTCTGGACCAACAAGATACAGGTTTTTCTTCATTGTGTGGATAACAACCTTCTTAAAGCGGCTCCGCACTTCAGAGCAACAAGCCTGTAAGGTTTCATCTTCGGTACTAGAGACCCCCAACTCTGACAAAAGCAGCTCCTTAACTGAGAAGTCACCACTGACTAAGTCAACAAGCTTCTGTAGACGTTCCCGACATAATATCACTTTGGACGAATCAGCCCCTCTTAAGATAACAGTCAAATTCTGATTGCCCTCAGAGTAGCTCTCTTTCATCTGGAGATCAGACGTGAGGTCCTCCACCCGGGTGCTGTAGGCCTCCTTTATGTATTGCCACATAACCTGGGAAACTGAGATCTCTTCATGATGGACTTCTTGTTTATTCCTCACAGTCTGACTACTAAAGCTGGAAGACCGCTCACGGACTCCGACTGAAGGTTTGCTGGAATCGTCTTGGCTCTTCTGGCCCAAGATTTGAGCTTTCTGTTGAGGTGTTCCTGAGAAACTACTGGCTCGCTTTAAAGTGGATCCAGACCCTGAAGGTGGAAGTGCACTGCTTTTTGGGAGGCTGTACGGAATCGAAGCAAATGGAGCTGCTAAATTTTTTGGCCGGGTCTCTGTCATATCTGTAGTTAAAGAGGTTTTAATTGGTGAGAATGAAGAGGGAGAAGATGTGTGCACGGTTTTGAACAATATGTCCCCTCCAGTATTTTGGGCTGCTGCTCTCGAAACTCCTTCACCAGAAATCTGTGTTGTTCCAGACAGCACATCATGCCCCAGAATCGGTTCCTGATGCACTTGCCTGCTGGGTGATGAATTTGGACGGAAGGGAAAGCCGCCTAAAACGGAAAGTCCTGAGTCTTTAAACCGAGCAGCCAGTTTATACCTTCTTGCTCCATCAATTCTTAGTTCATCTTCCTCAGATATCTGCAGCCGATCTATCCTTTCATTCAACTGTCCTTCAGTAGGAAGAGCAGTCTGGGGTAATCGCTCCTCATCAGCATGAAAAGGTGATGAGCCAGAATTATATGAAGGAAAATTAAGAAGACTGGCAACACCTTCCTTTTTATTTCTATCGTCCTCCTGGCCCATTAGAAGAGAGTATCTGGCATCTGCTACATCCTTGTTGATACCAATCAAGTAAATATTCTGCTCATCTTCATTCAGAAGAAGTTTTGGATATCTTGCACTTACATTTTCCAGTGCCCTTTGCAGTCCTCCTCTGGGGCGAATTAAAATTTTAGGGAGCTGGTCTCGGCAGATCTTTGCCTCATTTTCCTGATAAAGTCGACTTATTGCCTGTTTAGCTAGTTTCATGCTGTCTTGTCCCTCCTCCAATGCTGTTGTATCAGCAATCTGCAAAAACAAAGTGGTCAGGCCCTGATTTGTTTCGTTAACCACCTCAACGCCAAACTGACTGAGAATTTGCTGGTATTCCTTCTTGCTGTGCTTCTCCAGATACTGGAACACGTCCGCATCCACAATCAAAGAGGACTCCTCTATGAAAGCAGTTGGAGGGCATTGAGCTGCGCTATCTGTGTGATTGGCAGTTTCCCAGTCATCTCCACCAAGAGCACGATTTCTGTTTGATGTGAAGTTTTCCCCCTTTGTTGAAACATCAGCGTCATCTTCGACTTCTCTGTGTTCCTCTTGCCTGATCGGTTCTCTGCTCTGATCGTCTGACACTTGAGGCTCCTGCGATGTCTGAAATGACCAAGTCCTGCTGGAGGCATTTGGACCTGAGTCTTTGCTCTCTAACAATCTGGGACCAAGTAGTTCAGCCAAAGCAGCCTGGACTTTACAGTACGAGCCAAACAGTGTGCAACACTTCTCAGTAGCAATGGGCTTTATCTGGACCTCCTGATGACTTTTATGAAGTTTTTTTAATGCCTTGATTCCCCCAGGAAGTCTGCTGTAGTCAACTGTTGCTGTTAAGCTTAAGACAACCTAAAAACCCCAAAGCAAAACAATTTAAGTTCACCCTTCATACTGAATTACTTGGCATATTGTACAAAATTGTAATATTTTGTACCTGATCTGGGTCCAAGCTTTCTGGGCTCTCTGAAGCATTGAGTTCATACTTCTTCCCATCTATTTCCAGAATGTGCCGAGATTGTTGAGCAATTCTCTGTGCCACTATGTGAGAGGGGTCATTGGAAGGAAATCAATCAGTCTGAAAAGCATCCTGACTAAGCGTTTCTGCCGTTGGCTGCTCCATTGACTTGCATACAGGCATTTCAGCTCAGTTTAAATCATTGGTGACAGCCTAGAGGCTGTACTGATGCTGAATTGCTGCACCTGAATTGTAATAGATAAGAAATTATTTATGTTGAGCTGAGAGACTGAAGTTTTATGTGTCAGGAAATAATAAAAAATATCTTTATCAGGATCTACAATTATTTAGATCTAATTTCAAGTGCACAATAATACATAACAGATGCAATACTGTGATTATTAAATAAAGATTAGGTTAAAGTGGAAAAGCTGTGATTGAAGAAGTAAGTGCATCCCAATGGTTAAATGGATTTCAGAATCCCCTTTAGCAGCAATAGAAATAGTTGTTTTCTGTCTAGCTTCATCAGTCTCTCACATTAATGGGGAAAGATTCATTGTGATTAGAGAATAACTGTGCTGTGCAGAATTTCCATTCTTACTAAACTGGTTCAAGGGACTTTGTTGGAGAAGTCTTGTGGTTCAATCTGACTGAGTTTTGTAAACTTAAACTGTGTTGCCATATTAATTTCACGGTAAAGAGGCTTTCTGCTGGGGAAATGAAGTGAGGGTCTGTACAGTTTTTTTTTATTGAGTATTGAAAATCTGACTTAAGAGTCTGTTTGGTGGCACAGAGTCACAGTCATCAAATTGTTTGGAAATGGCCTTCAAACGCCTCCTACATTGGTGAGCAGGGACAAGTCCTCCTCTTAAGGCCAATGCTGATGTATTTATTTCCTGTGCTGATCAGCTGAATGGGCAAAATTCAATTTTTACTGTATGCAGGTAAAAATACAGATTAATTCTTATTCAGTACATTTTGCTTGCAGCATCTTTCCCACTGAAACCAAATGGAAGTAAGCAAGGTGCTGTTGGTTTATTTTTGTTTATTAAAGAAAATACTTCAACCGACTGACCTGCACTGTCTTCAAAGGTAATGAGAGCAGATGAAGGCGTTGGTTTCACAATCGTGACATGGTCTATTTCCCCTCCTCCATTCCTGGCTCTGAGAAAGTGAATGAGTAACTTGTCTTTCAGCCTGTCATCTTCCAGGTCCGTGGGCAGCCCGCTCACCCTGACAATCCTGCCCGCTTCTGCCATCTGCTGGAAGAAACACGGTCACTGCTGAGTGGGAGAAACTTTCTACATGAGAATCAGACAGCACGAGCAATCAAAAATACGTTTTCCTGGAGAGAGGCTGTTTGTGAATATCCGGCTGATGATAAAAAATAAAAATACACAAAAGTGTGACGCCTCTTTTAATTATAGGGGTTTCTATGTGGGAACCCCACCCCTATATACAGGAACAAAGATATGTCAGATTATATCACCCTCTCCTGGGGATACAAGGACATTACATCAATATGCAAAGAGAAAATATATCTTAATCAACGCTATATGTATAAATCTGCAAATAAGAAATGGCAATCAACTTCACATCGGTGTGTTTTCAATCCTCTTTACTTCAAAAGAAGCGCTGAAGAAACTACAAGGCAATTGTATATTATATATTTTATGAAGCCAAAATGAATGACGCTTGGTTATTTATTCTTCTTTGCAGCCATTCCCTCTTGTCTGACGCTAACTTGAACAAAAACAATTTAAAAAGACGCACGAAGCTCTTAACCCCTCGCCCCCATGTCTCTTTCCTTTCTTCTTCTTCCTCCCCACCAACAGACTGTCAACTAGTTTTCTGCTCTTTGACTAAATTTAACACCACTTTGCTGCACGTACTAAAGCTTTTCAGACATTCCACCTGCTTAGGCGTGTTCTGTTCCTACTTATATTGATATTACATCAGAGTTTTGGTGTCAAATCTGCTTCCAGAAATCAGTAAGAGGCGCGTAATTACCCCATAACAAGAAAACAGGCCACATTTCAGAGGCGAGAGTCAAGGAAGTAAATAAATCAGGCACATCTCGGTTGAATCAGATCGCAACGCAAACGATGAAATTGTTCGGCGTAGCGCTGCGGATCTCGCTCGAATGTAAACATTACTGACCTTGCATGTGTTTCACGATGATTTCTCTTTTCTCAACTTTCGAAGATCGACACGCTTCACGGGAAGAGGAGGAAAAGCGAAACTAAGTATATTTTGTTGGTTTTTTCCCACTAGGGGGCAACCAAAGGTCGCTGCTCTGAGTATGAGAGCAGGTTAGAGCTGCTTCATCTATGTTTGTTGGTGCTTCAGCTGTTTTATCGTCTCTTATAGAATAAAGAAGAAACATTTTAAACTAAGTGAAAACGGAGAGTTTGCAGATGATGTGATCAGAAAGTTTCTTATTTTCCTAATTTTGTTGCTACGTGAAAATAAAATCATAACACACTTGAGAAACAATGAGAGTTAGTGGTTCTTTTTATTATTAAACAAAATACCAATCGGTAGTCAAAGAAAGACAGAAAAGGACTGAATTAATTTGGTCATATTATAGTTTTGCAACTGTGTAAACTGTAAAAGTTTAGAAAACAAAGGCTTTTGCACACAAATAGCCTTGACATCTTACTACTCATTCAGGTATAATGAGCTTTGTATATGATGATTTTTGGAAGATCCCACCTGGCACAAGGCCCTAAAAAACACCCATATTTTGTCACAATTCAGATCTTTCTCTTGAAACCAACATTTTAAAATCTGGTTTTCTTGTTTGCATCACAGACATTCAGGGAAGGGTTACATTTGTAACCATGATTTAGAAATCTCAGAGCTCCTGATTGTTCAACATGTACAGTATTTCCACAGAACACAGCATGTGGTTTTCACCATCATCTTTTTAAATAAAAAAACATGACTTATTTTGATAGTAAATTGTAACAACAGCTCCAGCTTGATGAGCTTTCTTAAAAGAAAAGTTAACGCTAACTCATCGCTTTATTTATACCAGGATTATATCGGGCACAACTTCAGGAATAAAAACATTTGTTACTTTGAATAAAAAAAGTGAAGGAATCCATCGGCCATTGATCAATTGATTATTTATTTGTTTATTTTTATTTTTCTAACACAAAAAGCCACTAGGTGGCAGTATTGCAGTGGTGCTATAAATGTCTTCTTCCGCAGCTTTCGACGAAGCAGAGAACCGTATGGGGTTTATCCAATCAGAAGGCAGGTTGTGACTCGCTGTGCGCATGCGCCGTGACTGAAATATTTCATGTGTTGTACGTCGTGTCCGGTGGAGGTCACAGCCGTTGGAGCAAACTGAGGTTAGTTACGACACATATTGTAATCAAAACACAAAAAAAATACAAAACTGTGAAGTTAAACCTTAGTGTGGAAGTCACGATTACCCTAAATTGACATTTTTTGGGCATCAACTGTGTTGTAAAACGGTTGCCTTGACTGTCCGGGGATTGAGTAAGACGAGCACGAGTTTCCACTGTCTTATCTCCATCAGCGAAAGCTAACTGCTATTTGTTAAGATTTAAGCCGAACACATTTTACTGATACATTTTAAAAAGCACACTGTACTTGTACGTTTTAGTTGCTTTGATGAAGCAACACATTTAAATCTTGGATGACTTTGCAAGTGCTCTCAATGCACTGCTAATCGCTAAGCTAAAGCTAGCTAATGATGAGCTAAATTAGCTTTACCCTACAGCCGTGGTTGGCATCAACCAAGGCCACTGTTTGTTTGTCCTGCAGTGAGTGGATTAACGGTGGCCTTTTAAGGATTTCTACAAAGACTTAATTGGTTTGCATAGCGTGTCATACTAGCAAAGTTGCAGTCGAAGTATCTGAAACGTTCCTTGTTTTCACCTGCAGGTTGCTGCGGTCATGGCCAAGCTGTTTGAGTCTATCGGAAAGTTGGGGGTCGCCCTTGCTATTGGTGGAAGTGTTGTGAACTCTGCCCTCTTCAACGGTGAGTGCCACACATGGACAGCGTTAATATTTAGATAAGGGAACATCTGGCACATAGTACATTAAAAAATTATGTACAGTACCTATACTATAATTGTAGGCGTTATGTTCTGAGCTTGTTTTTTTTAGTAGTCAGGCATATCTAAATTAGATATGACAGCTGTATAAAAATCACTTGATATAATTATGATCAAAATGGTCTATATTACTGCTTTCTCACTAGAACCTAAGGAAAAAATTTACAGAAAGTCTCTAAAGTCCGGCGGTAACAGGCGCTTAAATTCCGTGACAAAAAGAAAAGGAAAAAAACACACACAAATAAAAAACACTTGGTATTTTATTCTATGTTGCATGACTTTGTGTTTATGATGTAAAGCACTTTGAAATGCCTTGTAGCTGAAATGTGCTATACAAATAAAATTTGATTGATTGATTGATAAATCATTATCTGTCAAAGTGGGTACAAAACTTCCCTGGGTAAGAATTGATGCATGTTGAGTAAACTGAAAAAAAAGTTTGTATATGACCAAAGCAAGAAGTGTGAAATGGATAAATGGTAAAATAAGTCACACAAATGCTCCATCATTAATTTTACAAGACATAAACGTTCCAATGAGGGATTGACCATAATGGAATACTCTGTCTCTACATTTTTAACAATTTGTTTGAAGTAATTAGTTTTTGACACTTTGGGATTATAGCAAATTATTTTACCTCAAGAAAAATAATCAGCTATGTTAGTTAGAAAGCATGTAATACATAATTTATATGTATAATGTGTATGATTGACAATATTTCTCTTTACAGTTGATGCAGGACACCGGGCTGTAATATTTGACAGGTTCAGAGGTGTACAGGATACAGTTGTCAGTGAAGGAACCCACTTCCTCATTCCTTGGGTTCAGAAGCCCATCATCTTTGATTGTCGATCCCGCCCACGTAACGTGCCTGTCATCACTGGCAGCAAAGGTGCGTTATTTAAATATATTAAATTCAATAATCAATACAGCCATATAGGTAGAATCAAATCCAATTACACACCTTCTAGTTCAGCCCTACCAACAACATAATGCAAGTGAGAAAAAATATCTCTTTAGGAAATTTAATCAAGGCCTTGACTTTGCAAATGTCTCTTTGAAACAAACATGTGACAACAGTGGAAAGGAACTACAGCCCTTTAACCTCCATCAGAACTGAACTTACTAAAGACAGATATTTTCTGTGACAACAGGAGGTTGGGAAGACGGAGGAGACCCGAAAAAAACACTTAATGTTTTTCTCAGATTTAACATGAAACTGGCAGGCTGTGTGTTTCTACAAATCCTTTCAAACTATACAAAAAAAGAAGAGCTAATGCACTCATGACATGATGTCTTAAACTCACAGTGAAGTTATGTTCTATAAATCACTTTGAACCACTTATTCTGCAGATCTGCAGAATGTTAACATCACACTGCGTATCCTCTTCCGGCCGGTGACGAATCAGCTGCCCCGCATCTTCACCAGCATCGGCGAGGATTACGATGAGAGGGTGCTACCCTCTATCACCACAGAGGTCTTAAAGGCTGTTGTGGTGAGCCTTTAAGAGCCAGAAAGCAATGATATTTTTTTCTAATATTGTTGGAATAATCACTTAGTCAAGCATCTTTTTCCTTACAGGCTCGGTTTGATGCCGGGGAGCTCATCACCCAGAGAGAGCTTGTGTCTCGACAGGTCAGTGAGGATCTTACGGAAAGAGCTTCCACCTTCGGACTCATTTTGGATGACGTATCACTGGTAGGAAGCTGCTTCTAAAATTTTCAACAGTGTTGCTGTTTTTGAATCAGCTCCAAACTAATTCACAATTCTCTTTTTAGACACATTTGACCTTTGGTAAAGAATTCACAGAGGCTGTTGAGATGAAGCAGGTGGCCCAGCAGGAAGCAGAAAGGGCCCGTTTTGTTGTAGAAAAGGTATTACTCAAAACATATGTTCAGCAAACCTTTGTATGCATTCTCCTTGGTGATGCTCAGCAGTCTAAATTTGACATTTTTCTGTATGCTTTCTTAGGCCGAGCAACAGAAGCAGGCTGCCATCATTTCAGCAGAGGGGGATTCTCAGGCCGCCTTGCTCATCGCTAACTCCCTGATGGAAGCCGGTGATGGTTTGGTGGAGCTCCGTAAGCTGGAGGCAGCGGAAGATATCGCCTTCCAGCTCTCACGCTCCCGCAATGTTACTTACCTGCCGTCGGGACAGGGCACGTTGCTGCAGCTGCCCCAGTGATAGCCTCCCACCTTAACCAGCTGTGACATGGGCCACGGAGGGGCCTGCTGGATGATTCAGCAGGTGGTTCTTGCATCTTCACATACATTCGTCCCACTCTTTCTCAAACTACTATTGGACTTGGCTCTGCTGTTTGCAGAATGGTGGGGGATAGAGTGAGAGGTCTGTGAATACATTTATGAAGTCCACTTTTGTGTATGGAAATAAAGAGAATTATTCCACCTTTATCGTAAACATATAAAACTTTGAGGAAGATCATTAGTGTAGTTAATTTGACTTGCAGCTTGCTCTCAGAACGGGAGCATTGCATGAAAGAAACTTTGAAGTATCAAGGGAACTGGTAACTGATTTAAGACATGCTAAATTGCAAATGTTATTGTGCTTGAAAGTTGATTTGTAAAACAGTTTTCAGGTCTCAAATGAAAGGCTTTCTTTTGATTTCACCCTATAGGGTAATTTTCCACAAATAATGTTGCCATCTTGTACAAATTAGGATGTGCCTATCTAAAAATAACGTGTATGTTCTCTTTAGTTTAACTGACATTGTCAGAAAGCCCCATGTCTCAGAAATGACGCAAGTTAATAAAGATGTCTTTCTACCTCCTAGTAGTGGATGTGTTTGGTGAAAGAGCATTTTATTTTTATCAAATCTCTTGGATAAATATCTTACAAACATTTTATTCAAGTGATCCAATTAGATAATTTTCTAATAGGTTGAAATTGATTTTGTCTTCCACCAATATTACTAATGGTCTGAACTGGATTAATTGTAATTAAAATGCACCATATTAAACCCTGCTGTTTACAAATTGTGTGGAAATGTGTAATCAAGGCCCCCAATTGTGGTCTATTATCTGTACTTAAAAAAAAAAAAAAAACTGAACAACTGCAAGTGATTGTCATGTGTGGTTTGTGTTCAGATTTTGTTGCTGTTCTATTCCAGAACAGCAGGTTAAATTATTTTTGATTACAGACTCTCATGACCTTTGAACTTGTGGAATAAAATGAATTTTTTAAAAATGTATCCCCTTGGTAGTAATAAATCAGTCTAACACAGCTAATCAACATACAGATGGGGTATATTTTTGAGATTGGTCCAGATATTAATTGGCTTATTACATATATGATTTGTACATCTGAATAACTAAATATTACATGTGGCGGGCCCTCATGGCTTTGTCCTTGAACTGCTTTTATTCAGTACCTATATGATGTGTTTAGCTTTGATTTGGGGGTATTTCAATATAGTTCATGTGAAGTTGTCACTGTTGCCAAAGTCTACTATGGTCTTAACATCAGTGGCTCCATAAGAGTTGTTATTGGATCCAAAAACAGGGTAAACAATTAGGAGTCATGATTAAAACCACTGTCAAGTTTTGACATTGTTTATTTCTAAAACGTATTACAATCTTAGAGAAAAAAAAAACATTGTCAAAATAAAGGTAACGTGAACCATCTTGACACCTACAGTTCTCAAAAATATTCTAGCCAGTATTACAAAACCTAGAGCTAAAATAGTTGACAGTTCCTGGAACAACTTTCTAAAAAGCAGTTATGTAAAGAAATAGTTTTTTCTTTGAAATCAATGCTGAAATTGCCACTACAGCTCTCCTATTAAGATAAAGAAAGAAAAAATACACAGAAAAAAAATTCAACGTTTATTTCTTTTGTGCTTAGATTTAAAGAAATTTATTGATTTACATTCGTTCCTTGGTTTTCCTGCAAGGTACCTTGAGATAATTAAATTGAATATGAATAGCGTTATTAAAATAAACTCCCAGAGAGCAGATAAGGTGAAATTAGTAAAACAGTATAATTTTAGAACCAGAAGGAGAATGCAGATATGGTATGATATATGCAGGTATGATTTCGCCTATTGTGTGTGCGCCCTGAACAGTTTCTAGCTTCCAGGGAAGACCAAAAAAATCCAGACACCGAGGGGCGCGCCTGCGCCCAGACAGCGGCCTGAATGCCTGGGATGAGCGCGGGAGGACGGCGACGCCGTAAGCTAAGAGCTTTGCCGGGGCCACGTAGCGGGGCTGAGGACTCCCGTGCGAAGGTATCCTCGCAACCGGTGTAACGCACATTAATAAAAATATCCTCCCGCCTTTTTTGCACACATAACAGAAGCTGGCAATTACCCGTTCTGTGTGCACATCCGCGAATGTACATAGATAGAGGGAGGGCGAGCAAACCCTGCTGAATCTGTGCAGCTCTGATTGCACGAACGCAAGAAGGAGGTCGCTCTCGCTCTCTTTAGACGGAGGTAAGCCAGTGAAGCGACCGCAAAATGTCGCTGTTTTAGTGGATTTTCAGCACCTACCAGACTGACATCCAGCACAGCTGCCGGGGGAAGCGCACACGGGTTTCCGGAAGCCGGTGGCCGAAGCTACGGTAAAAACTGTCTGTGAACACTTGACTTTGTGACAGTGTCGAGAGGGAGTAGGTTTGCCACTGCTTTTTTTTGTTAGGACTCCAGCTTACAACGAGAGGGAGATACTGTGAAAACAAAGCGTGACATTGGCTTTAGCTCGACACGGGCCCGATAGCTGCCATTTATTATCTTCAATATGCAACACAGACATAAAGTGCAACGTTTCTGCTAAAAACTTTAAACGTTGATGCTAGCTTTAAGCTAACATTCTGGACGAAGCAACATTCTGGGCGGTTTGGGGTTAAAAAAAAGTGAAAGTGCGTGTGTTTGTTTTGGGGTAATGCATGTAAGCAAAACGTGAGATAAAACTGAAGGTTTTGAGATTACTCTGCAGATATATTTACTTGATAGGAGCATCTTCAGCTAATGTAGCAAAGTTAGCTTGTCATGTACAGGTAAGGTTAGAAACTGCAGACTTTAGCTAGCGGGCTAAGTAGCATAAGTTGCCCAGGCCTGTACAGGGTTTCTGCTATTCGCTGAGCAGTGTTGCCTTTCAGGTTTTAACCCTTTGTAACTTTATAGTTTTCATCTTTAAAAAACCCATATATATTCAATTGTATCAGTTAACTGGGGATAAGCTCAGACATCATTGGTTTCTGTCAAATTTGGAAATGTCTGTGCAGCAAAAGCTGAGATTTCTTCCCCCCCTTCTACTTTTCATTAAGTTCAACCAAAATATAAAATCAGAGCATTGCTCCATGACCCGATTCTGGGGTTTGACGGCCACATACCTACAGAGGCATGAAGCATCCCTGCAGTGCATTGCACAGTGAGCTGGTTAAGGTCTTATGAGTTTGGACAGCGTGAGGAATGTGAACCTTTACAAGCTGCAAGAGGAGAAAGCTCATTAAAGTCTAGACTTGAGAGGGTGCATGGATTTCAGCAGCTTTGCATTTGAGAGTAAAGCGTGGCAGATTTGAATTGCAGAGATCTCATCTGTGTCACAGACTTTTTGGCTGAGCACTTTTCAGTATGTGCACCACTGTTTGTTTGGTACAGTTGCTTTGCAGTAACACTCCCATCCTGTGTCATACAGATCTTTAGCCACAGTAGCATCTATCCGGTATATGACTAGTTTTGTGGCTTTACCTATGCACAAAAAAAGTTTTGTTTGGTTCTCAGAATGCCTCCCAATGGCTGATCAAGGAAAACTTTTAATTTTACTTTTTAGAGCAAAAGCAACTTCACTTCCTCTGTGCTTTGGATGAGTAAAACTGCCAGTGATACTACAAATATGCTTCAGTTTCTTTCCTTCCAATAAACTTGTTTTCAAAATTGTCAAAGTTGTGGGGGGAAAAAACTCTTATCATTATAATTGTCATTTGCATATCCAGGATCTTAAGATCTGACAGGTTGTGTAACCTAATCACAGTTAATATTGAGAGCTTTATATGCTACATGATTCCCACATCAAAGGACTTCAATATCTCACAGCAAGTGAAACTCAGAAATGACTCATCATTACTGAGTAGAAGCCTTTTATGCAGCCTCCAAGAAGTTTACTGCTTGTTTATTTGGACTTCAAAATTCATTTGATTATTGTTTTGGGGTTTTCAAAAGTTTTATGCAGTTAGTACCAAAACAAATAAGTTTGGTTTGTTGTTTTGAACCACATACGCTTGATAAGGAAGGAAACCAACTGATTCGACTTTAAGTCAAGCATGCCAGGCTTCCGTTTTGCATGCAGTTTATGCTTCTCTGTCATGTAGACGCGGGATAATCTGTTCGGCTGTGTGTCTGGGACGACCATGTGAGGCGAATTGCTCTGTCAGTACTGAGCTCCCCTCCCCTCTGCGGTTTTAATGCTCTGAGAATTGCTGTCCGATTCTCAGAGGGGATCAGAGTCAGCATGCACAGGAAGGCAGGTGTGTCTCATGCTTCTGCGTGGCTTACAATTATAATTGCAAAGTTTGGCTGAACTGGTTAAGGTAGTTACTTTTTCTAGCAGTTTATGTCCTCTGCTATTTCTCATTATATATTTTTTAATTATTTGGTAAGATTTAAGTAGAAAAACAAAAGAAAGCAAAGCAAATATTACTGCATCTAAATATTACTAATGAAGTGCAGAATGATTATTGAAGGAAGTAAAGTATGTAATAAATGTGGGTAAATCAACACATATATTTGATTATGATGGCATTTCCTTAGATTAGATTTATTTATTTTTTGTCTGAATTACAACCAAATACATTTTACATTGTGACTTATGCACTCGAAACTATTATAGATTTATTTTTTTTATTTAATGGAAACATAATTGGTAAATTGACAATGGTTTTTATTATTTGGCGATTATAAATTTGAGTGAATAAACATTAGGTAGGTTCCTCAAGACTCAAATGTCGGACCATTTTTATGTAATATGATTATAAAGTATTAGGTCTCCCTACACCAACAAAACTCATGATATCTTCAAGCATTGGGTGAGTTTGTCTATAATGGAAAATTTTTTCCAGCAGAATAGGCAAATGTCAGTGTTATGATCCACAAATACAGGGTTAGAAATGAGGACTCAACGACTCGATGAGGTCAAAAACCACATAACACACAGGAAACTTTGACTTATCAATTCATCCAGGAGGTAATAGAAGCAACTAGCATAACACAGTTACAGACAATATTTCCCTCAATTAGGATCAGAGTTTATGATTTGTAAATAAGAAAAAGCCTGGGGAAAAAATGCCATCCTGTGGAGAGTTCAAAGAAAGAAAAAAAAAAAGGCCTATTTTATATTTCGCGACATATCTTGATGCTCCCCCAGATTGTTGAGTAAAACTTCTGTGGTCAAAAGAGGAACATTTTCGAAGAAGTACAACCTGTTACATCTGCCGTAAAACAAACAGAGCATTTCATAAAAAGAACATCGTGTTGACACAATGTTGCCATGTGAAGATCTGAGGCTGATTTGCTGCTTCAGGACTTGGATGACTTCCTTCATTTGGATCCATGAATTCTGTTCTGCAGTAGAAAATCCTGAAGGACAATCTGTATGGGAAGCTTGTGGAGCAGAGAAATGACCCAGAGGATTCTAACAAGATCACCTCTGGATAAAAGAACAAAAGTTTTTCGGAGTGAATTAGTCAAATCTTGCTGTAATGCTTGAAAATGATTCAAAATGGCTGAATAAAAATAATTCTGCAATAAACAGTGTGCGAAAATTCCCACACAGAGATGTACAAGACTGTTTTTTAGGTATAACAAACACTTGTTAGGTTTTGTTGGCAATTAGATTTATTTTTATATGGGGCTAGGTTAGATTGGATGGCATTTTCACTTTATTAATTAAAAATAATTCAAAAATATTTTTTTGTATTTTTTTTCAGTTTTTCCATATTATTTCAATGTTAAAACATGTGACAACAAAGAAATGTCCAAGGGTGCAAATACTTTTTCACAGTATTGTAATTGTCTTTATGGAATTGACTTATAGCATCCATAAAAAGTTAATCACCAAATCAGTTTACTACAACTACTTCACTAGCAAACTACAAAAGATATCTTGACAAAAAAAGGTAAAAGACAAGAAAACTAAATGGAAAATAACTGGGTTTGTAATATTTAAGTTCTTAGCAAGAAATTCACTATTGCACAACCAGGGTTCATATTGTGGCATTTTACAAACTGTACATTTTATATGTACATTTATGATGTAGAAATAACTTCATTGTTTTTCTTCTGGAGACAGTTGGGTGTTTATTTTAAGCCAAGAGTGCATAAGTGCAAGATGTTTGTGAAGATGGAGGCGATATTTGCTGTCTCCAATAACGGAAATGCTGATTTGCGTGTACCTATAGGAGGTTTTCTAGCAAAAGAAACCGCCTCGATGAATGCTCAGAATTACTGGTAAAGGCTTTTTGAGGTCACCCAACTGTCAACCTGGAGACGGCTCAGTATGGATGTGCAACCTTCCAACGTTTAGTAGATCCATGATTCAAAGTCAAGTCTAAAACATACTTGGAAATATATACATATATTTTTTCAGTGTGTGACTTGTTTATAAACAAGATTATCACACTTTAGGTTACAAGTGTAGTAGATAAGTTTCACTGACAGGTTGACTTACAATTTCCTGTGGTTGTGTTTGCAATAGAAGCTTCAGCTGTGGTTATACTACGCTTTCTAGCAGTCAATGGGAGCTGCGTTTATATGTGCTGCTTAAGACGAAGGAACACCTTAACGTTTTTCAGTGTTTCTCGCTGTTTCAGGTGAGTTTCTTGTTTCTGGGAGGCATTTAGATTATTGTGAATTGATTTTTACTTTGATTACAGTCCAACTGCAGATAAAAGCTAAAGGACAGTGGTTGGATTCTTGCTTTTGCATGCTCCGCTTCGGTTTGTTTCGAGGTTTTCTGCTTTACTACTGCTGCAGGAGTGTGCTCTGTAGTTTTAGACCTTGTTTAAAAGTTTTTCATTGTACATTTGGGATAAAGTTTCTGTTTTCAGTTAAGCAAGTTCACTTGCTGTGTGTCACTTTAGAAATGTATCTGTACGTTAAAATTGATGAGATCTTTCAGTTGTGGTTGAGGGAGACATTTGGGCTGCACAGTTTTGAAATTGAATTTTACTCGCAGTCATTTGTGAAACCTGTGGTTTCAGCTCCCACACTCAGCACTAAGACAAACGTCTGTGGGTAAATGTGACACTCGCTGCTTCAAGCTCGACATGCCTGCAGTTTCAGGTTGCAATCTCACCGTTTCTCAAAGCGAGCGGAAGAACGTCGTCTTTAATCTCATCTGTAAGCCTCTCGTTTCTTCTTTTTCTCTGTCTTGCAGTTAAATGGAGCTTCGAGTGAGACGTGGAGGTACTGATAGGTGAGTGGTCTCCTGCTCACCTTCGCTTGCCCTGGACCCAACAGACCTTGAAGAACTGACGCTGAAATTTTGTAATCAGATTTTGTTTCCCACCTATATGGAACAAACTTTGGGACAGTTTTGATGTCTTACCAACTACGTGTCCTTCTCTGGACAGAATGGACGCTCTCTTTGAATCAGGTTGATCGTCTCTCACCTCGCCCCCTCCTTCCTATCTCCTCAGAAGAAGGAGGGTGGGGGATTGGCCCCCTGCCCCTCCTTGCAGGCTAGGCTAGGTTAGGTTAGTCTTCTTTTTGCAACATAGTCTTTTCTCTTTTATATTATCTTGTGCTCAGACCTGATCCAATCTCAACATCACTTCTTCATGAAATCCTGCCAGAGCCTAAAGGAGGAGGTTTCCATCCCCAGCCTGGGCGGGATGTCACAGGAGGAGGCACGTAGGACGCCCGTGTCCCAGAACTATTATCACTCTAATAACCCAGATTTGGACCTGACGGGAAAGGTTCACAGGAGGGAGGTGAGTGGAAAGCCTTATTCTGTGTTGGTTGACAACAAGATGTCAGCAAAGACGGCTGGGACGGATCAGAACATGGGTCAGGTGCCGCCTCAGCATGTGACTTCACAGCAGCATCAGCAGTACTTCAGAGAGGGAACACAGGAGGCGGGGTCGCAGGAGTCCGAAACAGGAAACCAGGAGTCCTCTGATGACACAGAGGTTGATGAAGATGATGAGGAGGAAGAAGATGAGGAGGAAGAAGAGGAGGGTGAAGAGGGCTACAAACGTGAGCAGATCATCGTCGAGGTGAATCTGAACAACCAGACGCTTCACGTATCCAAGGGCGACAACAAAACTGGAACTGCAGCAGACGACTCAGAAAGAGGAGGAAGTGATGAGGATGAGGACGATGAGGAGGAGGAGGAGGAGGAAGAAGAGGAGGATGAAGAGGAGGAGAGCCATGATGAGGAAGAGGAGGAAGACGAAGAGGACGAAGCAATGAAGAGTCAAACGACGCGATCGAGACGAACCAGACAAAGTTCTTCGTCAGCCAGCCCGCCAAAGAGGAAAAGCCTCCGAACGGCCATGACCGCCGCCACAGCCGGAATGACCACCAGGGGGCGGCGGAGGCGGATGGAGCCTCCAAAAAGCAAGCGCAGGTCAGGCAGGTCGACCCCGTCTTCCGCAGGTACAGAGAGGACGGGCGAGAAGGCAGAGATGGAGGAGGAGAAGGAGATGCTGGCGTGTGAGAAGTGTCCCCGGGTGTTTAACACACGCTGGTACCTGGAGAAGCACATGAACGTCACACACAGGCGGATGCAGATCTGCGATAAATGCGGCAAGAAGTTCGTCCTGGAGAGCGAGTTGGCACTGCATCAGCAGACTGACTGCGAGAAGAACATCCAGGTAAATCTGACTTCATTCATTAGTTTTCATTTAACCTGCAATTAAAGATTGAAGTGGTGCAGGTCTGGTGTTTGAAATAATAAACCATAGTTAATCAGATGCACGGGTAAATAACCCAAAATTACAAGACATAAGAATAATACAAATGTATTTTAATAATAGAAATGATAAGTTGTGACTATTAAAATCACGCTGCTGTCCAGCTGAAAGTCATTAACATTCTTCAGGTTAAGCCACAAAAGGTAACTGAAAATGAATGTGTCTGTTCACAAATTGCTGTATTTTAGAATAATAATGGAAAACCCAGTGGAAGGAAATTAAAGTGTGGTTGTGAAAATAGAACAAGTGAAACTGCTGAGTTGTGAAGCAGAACCAATTCAAGAGTTTGAGGGAGACTTATGATCTACAACACATATGGATCAAGGCAATGGGCTACACTTGTCATCTGTTGTTAAACCACTATTGAAGAACCTTATCTGCTTTATTGTTTTGTTTTTTTTACACAATACAAGTTTCTTTTTCTTTACATGATTTCCTAAGCTCTCTGTATCACAGAGCAAAGTGGCTGATGTGCAACTTTTAATATGTTACTTTGCCATTTCTGTATGTATTTTAATACATACGGAAGTCTGAAACGAGAAAACTTTTTGATTCTGATTTCTTCAGATGCCCACATTTTAAATTCAGACTATATCTGCCTTTTGTTACCTGGAACTGTAAACTAAGGCTACATTCCACTAACGTAAAGAAGCTGCTACATGACTTTTATTTATTTATTTTATTTTACCCTAGACATTAGGCAAGATCTGGGCATCAAAATCTGTTGAGGCAAGTGTAAGAGGAACAGAGCCAATCTCAGTTGCAGTCAGCCAGTTATCCTTTCATAATTTTCTCTTGCAGTTTAGAATTTCTTGACTTGAAAAATGAATGCTTGCTGTTTTGGTTAATTGATATAATAAGAGTAGTAGACTATATTATAGTTAGCAAATGGGCCAGGCTTCAGGTTCATACAGATTCTGGAATGATTAAGAGGAGAAAAATCATCAATCTGAAAGACATTTTGGCATCACTCCACTGGATGTTGGATTGAGAAGAATTGGTCTTTGTGGAGGAATACCAGGAAACTCATCGTTATTAATCCACTAAAGCATTATGCAAATTAATAACACACAAACTGGTGTTTTTAAGACTTTATTGCTTTTAGTTATGTTGGTTTTTCTGCTTGCAGCTAACAAAAACACATTATATTAGTTCAATAAACATCTTAATAAAGAAATGTGGTTTTAATGAAAGGTATTCATCTAATTCATCTAAAGGTTCTTCTGCTTTTAATCTCAAAAACAAGACTTATTTGAAGGCAGCTTGTACTTTATTGGACAGCAATGTCAACTTTATCTGTTTTAATGTCTTTTTCATTCCCAGATAAATCCATTAAAACACGACCAAGAGGCTTCATGAACATTATCTGCTCTTACTTTAATCCAAATGCTCTTAAGGAATATTTGAAAGGAGAAAAATTTTTTTTTTCCTTGCTTGTTAGGCGTCATTGAGACGTCTTTGATAGTATTACTGCATTACAATTTTGACAATTATTCATTGTGAAGTTAGTAATTTTGTGGGAAAATGAGTGTTCCTGTTTTATTTGCTGATAAATGCTGTTTGTGGGTTTTGAAGCTCCTTTGAGCAAAATGACTCCCTCTGGCAAAACTGCCCTCCCCCCGTCAGAGTTTGTACAAGAGTTCAGTGCGTCCAGTTGGCTTTAGGTGTTTGACAAATCCTGCAGTTTATGATTCTCTGTCATCCAGGCATTTTTTTGACTGAGGTTTTGTAGTTGGTTTTAGATTTTTATAGAACATAAAATATGCACAGGTGCAAAACCTGAAGGCAGTCCACTTTTTCCATGTTTAAATGCCTGATGTGAATTCGACCCATCTGCATTAAACATTTATACATGCATTGGTAGCTTGACTGTAGCAAACCTTTCAATTATCTGCAGCTCTTGAAGTCCAGATATGGTTTAAAAACACATGCATGCAGATTTTCAGCACATTTCCTATAAGCCTGTGTCCTTATCTGCTGTTCTATGTGGCTTTAGTTTCCTGACACTGCACAGGGAGGTTCAGCTTTTGAATTCCTGAGGGACTCGCATTTGTTTTGATCGCTTGAACTCGCCAATTTTTGCTGACTTTCATTTGCATTTTCAAGTTATTTTGGACCACAGGGTAGCTGAACAGCTGCTCAGATTTCTACTAACAATGCCATACTGCGAGGATGTAATGTTGTCTTCAAAAGCACCATTTAAACTGCTGTCATTTCTCTCTAAAGCAGGAAACGGTTATATTTAAGATTTTTCTCATCTGGTTTAAACATACATCCCCCTAGAAAAGTCTGTAGCTTTAAATCTCTAAAGTTTACTTTCTTTCTACCGCCATAGTTTCTGTTAATGTTACCAAAATACATCAAATTAGTTTTAAACACTTTTTGGTTTGTGTATTTTTAGTGCGTCCTCAATGGAAAGACTTTATAAACTCATTTCTGTGTTATATAAAGGCATGAGTGGAGTTTCAGAGCTCAAAATAAGCTAAATAGCATCAAGCCTGAGAGGAAATCATGTGTTGCACGCAACTGTTTCCATTGAACCTTAGTAGTTTTATTGAAGAAAAGAAAAACTCTCCTTTTTATAGGAGGATAAAAAAAAACTCCCTTTTCAAGCCAGCATAACATTAAGGCTTTTAAGAGCTCCTTAGATTAATTGAGAAAGTCTGTAATTTTGATTAGACCAAAGCCATACCATTAATTACCTTTTTTTTCACATTTCTCCTGCATGTTGTGGGAGTTTGTGTTTCTGTGCTACGCTTTGCAGCCTGAAAGATGGCTGCTGTTAGAGAATCAGCTTTGTTTTATGGCTAAGTAACATTTTTGAATAAATTAGTTGTAGATGTTTACATATCATGATTAACATGAAAGTCATAAAGTTTTTCAACTTTTGAGTCATTCTAACCAGGCCTTTTCCTTGGGTGCATTGATTATTCTATGCCATTGATAAGTTTTTAAACAGAAGTTTAGTGCAGAAGTTTGAATTTATTTTCTCCACTACACATAAGGTAGAAATGACCCAGTTTCAAATCTCATGTCCTGCAGTCAATCCCCTTCCTCTCTCCATCTTTTTCCAATTTACATTTCACAGTCAGAAGAAAAATAATAAAAAAAATAGGAGAGGGGGAAAAAGAGAAAATATCACAGGGAGAAATCAATGTATAATTAAAAAAAGATTCATTGACTAAAAAAAAGACTACACCGAATATAGAAACAATCACAAAATGTGAATAATATTTCATAATGTAAATAATATTCCATGATATCACTTAGTAAAATTATGTAATATGATTATTTAATACTGTTGAAATTGAACAAATATATAAATTTGTTACTGTATAAGCACATTGGGAAATTTTTAGCTTTTGGATGCAATATTTTCTCGTGCACCAAGTTGGACATTTATTATTGCTTATTGGTGCAATCACTTGCCTCAAATTAAAATAATTTCACAGATTAATCAGGCGTTTACCCTGATGTTACACTTTTTTCCCAGCAGAGGGAGCTGATGGACTTTCAGAAAATTGTACCTGCTGATAAGAAATCTCAACACTTTATTCCATCCTAATAAATATGTCTGCTCTGGTTTTCCACAGTGTGTCTCCTGCAACAAGTCTTTTAAGAAATTGTGGTCACTGCATGAGCATATTAAGATTGTTCACGGCTATGCAGAGAAGAAGTTCTCATGTGAAATCTGTGAGAAGAAGTTCTACACAATGGCCCACGTTCGGAAGCACATGGTTGGTGAGTTGGGCCTTATAGTTATTTGCATAATGTTTCAAGGGGTCAGCTCTGACAACATGTTTATCAATATTATTGGAACCCTTAAAATAGCTTTAATTATCTCCCCTCAACTCCAGCTCACACTAAGGACATGCCTTTCACCTGTGAGACGTGTGGGAAGTCGTTTAAACGCAGCATGTCTTTAAAAGTTCACTCGCTCCAGCACTCTGGGGAGAAACCTTTCCGTTGTGAGGTAAGATGCTGTTTTAACGTTGCCGTAAAACAGAGATGCGTTTAATTGTCTCTAATATTTACTGTTCTATAATGAGGAGAATTCCTGCTTTATAAATGGAGAGTTGGGTCCAGAAGTACAGTACATATGTGCTATGTTCACAAGAAATGCAGAATAAGGAAATGCACAGTCTGTAATTAGGTGAGTTATAGCAATACCATAAAGATATCTGTCCAACAGGTTATTGTGGTTATGGTTATATGAATTACACTCGGCAAGTTATTGCATGTTTGCATGTAATAAGAGACACAACAGCTTGATGGGAAATGCAGAAACTCATTAGAAGATACAACTGCCAAGGTGTCATTAATGACATGGAAACATTATTAAATGAAAATAACAGATATTAAAGCCCAGATTTGTTTTTGAATTTATCTTTGACAGGGTAATAAAGAACAGGTTATGTTTGCAGTATGTGATTAGGTCTTTCTGCAGTGCAAATGACAGCGGGCATTGAATGTGAGCCGTCCTCTGTGTGACTTTCAATTACGTCTATTTTCCCTTTTATCATGTCTCTGAATCACGGTCCTCTGGGATCTTTCTGTGATAATTTTGTGGCGACAGTCACGGCTTGCGACTGTAGCGTATTCTTTTCATCACAGCAGAAAACACAGTCCTTCTGCTTTTCAGAGACATTCCAACAGATGGCGTCATGATGCATTTGCTGAAAGAGTTTTATCCCTTTATTTTGTGCAACATTTCTTTTTCTCAGCCCTACAGATAAATACTGAATGTTTGATAAGAAGAGAACTTTCTTTAAAGACTGAAGAAAAGTCTTGGTTTGCAGAAAATACCACCATGCTGTGAAACGTTATTTGCTCCCTTTACACTGCTGAGTTTATTTGACTTTCTCAATAGCCAAACCCAATTTCTACCTGATTTGTAGAATCAGTCAATCACTTAAATAGAACTTCCATGCAATATGAAGTAGGAAAAAGCAACACTTCATGCCTCGGTATGAAGAGAGTTTTGTTGGGGCGGGGGGAGTCACTGGCATGTTTCAATCTGAAAAACGGGTTACAAAAGGCTTTAGTACTTAGGCAACCAGTGAGAGTCATTATCCACAAACGGGGAAAACGCAAAGTGGTGCTGATCCTACCTAAGAAAGACCAGCTTTCCAAAATTACACCAACTAGGCATTAATAACTAATCCAGGAGGTCGCAAAACCCCTGCCGGACTCATTTGCCTTAATTAAGGTCAGCCTTCAACACCAGAAAAAAGGCTGGGTTGCTTTGACACCCAAAGTGAAAACCCACTGCTGACCAAAACAGCCTGTCTCACAATTTACAAAGTGATGACTCAAAAGATTTGATGAGACGACATCTGCATCTTGTTGCTTTTGCCGTTACACAACCCAACCTTTCAGAAATAAGAACATTTTACCTTCAGTCACACATGGTGGTGGTAGTGTTATGGTCTGGGACTGTTTTACTGACCCATGAATTCTGCTCTATTGTATAAAATGCCAAAGGAAGAGTATCTCTGAACACTAATTTAAATTCCAGCACACTTCAGATCATCGTCACGTGGCATATCCAAACCACCAAGTCGACCTCTGATTGGCTGGGGGAAAAGTGAGATTTTGGAGAGTCCTAGTAAAGGTCTGAACTTGTAACATGGCATTTAACAAAACCCTTTAATGTGAGCAATTATGCAAAGAATGTTGGGGTATTCACTCATCCACAGATGCAAGATTTATCAGTGATCTTAAAAAAAAAAATAGTTGTTGCTGCTTATTTGGTTGAGGGGACATTTACATTTTTCCACATAGGGTCACGTTTGTTTGAATTGCTTTTTTTTTGTCTCAATAAATAAAAATTAAAAAAGAAGAATCTAACATGAACAGTTATTTGATTTAAGTGTAACAAAATAAATCTATAGGGGGCAAATACTTTTTTACTGCACTCGCTTGTGCATTATGGCGATCTCTGCTGTTTTCTGAAATAAACTGCAAAGAGCATCTCTATAAAAATGACTGATAACCAAAAAAAACTGGATTTATCATGTTTTGTGTGTTATTTTTGATTGTTGTTTTGGATTTTAACTTGTATCTAGCAATGAGTTTTATGAATGTTCACACTATTAATTAAGATTAATGCAATCAACATTTTTTTTCACATTCTGTTTAGTATTTTCATTTTTACATTGAAGACACAGCAGTAGTAAGATTTAACCTTTCAAAATGTTTATAAACCACATAAAGTCCTTTAAACTTTCACAGAGGGAGCAATTGATTTCTTCCCGTTGTGATGCTCTCATTTAGTTTTCTACTCATAGCAGTAAAGCTGAGGTAATGGGTGAGAATCCATACGACATTACAAGTGAAGGAATCTTTTAAACAGTATTTTGCATAATGTTTTTATTTTTGTCTTTCATAATGCATTCTAGGGTACACAGTTGCATATAACATGAATTATTGAAAACATAAACACATTATAAAGAGCACAAAACAATGAGAAACTAGAGAAATTGCAATGATTTGAAATTTCAATATAGTTTAGAATGTGTGTACGCACCCCTAAAGCTGTGGTTTCTAAACTTCTAGTGACAAGGGCTGAAATTGTCAAAAGGTTTGTGAGCCATATGAACATAATTTATCTGATCAGCGATAAAATAAAAATACAATTTTAGTGAAACAAAATAAAATGGTCAATTTTGTGGGGAAGGAATGTGTGAGTCATTGTAAATCCAGAACATTAATGGGGTTTTGTTGGTTTACCGTAATAAAATAAAGGTGTACAGTTTCAAATATATTAAACTGTACAAATATTAAACTGCGGTCAGGGTCGCACTTTGGACACCCTGGTCTTTTGCAGGTCGAGTAATTTAATATTTTCTTTCGTCTCCACACATTAACATTCAGCAGACAGAGTGTCCTCAGAGCTGAACTCAAACCATGTCAAACATTATAAACCCTGGTGCTCATGGTTGACCAGTGAAAAGACAAAACTTCTGCCGTTGCTTTGGAAAGTATGCAGTCAGTTTCCCTCTCGGTATTCCTAGGGTTGTTTATGCTTCACAGAGTGTCCTTACTTCCAGTTTAGGCCTTTAACTATACCACACTTAAAAACATTTTCATGGGTGGAGTTGTTCTAATTAGATGTTAGAAGCTATCCCAGACACTAAGGTTTTTATTACATGCCTATTAGGTTTATGTAATGTGTAGCCCTTACATTCTTTTAGATTTTTTTCTCTCACCAAAGACATTTATTTACTCAGGTGGTGGCACAGGGTATAAATATCTAACCTTTGGGGGGGAAATTGAACCAAGAAACCCAGTGGATAGTTACACAACTCTCCACTGTGTGTAACAAGTGTTGCAACCAAGGGTTATTTTTAGTGGCTGAACATATGTAGCTTTTTTTTTTCTGGATTTTCTCACCTGAGCTGATGTTGGATGGTAGGAAGTCTCTTCTCAGACCATTTGAGGAGGCCAATCAGAGCCCACTGAATTCTTCGAATAGAGATGATTTCTTCTCACATTAGTTTGTTCTGAAAGCAAAATGTGCTGAAGTAAGCAGAAATCTGTACATTTCCACAGGGAAAAAAACCCCACTGTGAAATGGAGAACCATGTGGCAAGGGTTCAGTTTAGATTTCTGAGAATGTGTGCATGCGTTGACCTAGTGGGCACATGTCTAAAAACTTCTCTCTTTTTGTTGCAGCACTGCGACGAACGGTTCCAGTACAAGTACCAGCTGCGCTCCCATATGAGTATACATATTGGACACAAGCAGTTCATGTGCCAATGGTGTGGCAAAGACTTCAACATGAAGCAGTACTTTGATGAGCACATGAAAACACACACAGGTGAGAACTGAGGCTCTCGCTGTGCGCCTCGGGGTCAGACACACTCGTACAGCTCTGAAAAAAATTTAGATCGCTTAAAATGATCAGTTTCTCTGATTTTACTTTTTGTAGGTATATGTTTGAGTAAAATGAACATTGTTTTTTTATTCTATGAACTACTGACATGTCTCTGAAATCTCATGCCAAAATTTTGTATTAATTTGCAGAAAATGAGAAATGGTCATAACAAAACAGATGCAGTGCTTTCAAAGAAAACAAGTTCATTTTCACTTAGAAACAACAATACTAATGTTTTAACTCAAGAGAAATCAATATTTGGTAGAACATCCATGATGTTTTCAATAGGTTCAGTTTTTTTTTTCCAGGGCTGTATATATTAGAATGTTATAGTAATAGAAATGAAAAGATGAACTTTTTATACAATTGAATGTCCAAAGTTTTTTGTGTCCATACCAATTTTGTCCCATTTCTACTGACAGAACCAGTTTACCAGAGGCACTGGTTTCTCACACATCTTAGCTCAACCCACAGGTTTTTTATAGGACTGAGACCAAGGCTCTGTGATGGTGTCTGTGCTTTGTGCAAACCTAAATCTGTCTTTTTATCTTGTGCTTCTTCCTCAATGAGTGAGTCTGTTTTCATTATCACCTTGTCAAACAAGCCTCAGCCAAAGCAAATCTTCAGTCTTCTACATTTTACAACAAAACACATTTTTCTCTCTCTCTTTTTTTTTAGAACCAGTCATTCCCATGGCATTTATATTTGTACAGAATCTCTTGAACAGATGAACATAAAGTAGAATTAAATTATACGTTCTGACTGATCTAAAACAAGACACTTTAATGTCCGATGGTGAGAAAGAGGGTTTCTTTTTATATGTAAATATAGGGTTTCAACTGTAACCAAAGTCAAATTTGATTTTTTTTCCAATTATTTTATGTTAGTTTTTTATTTAATTTAAATATTTAGATTATTTGGGGAGTCCTTTTATTTTTCCTTTTTTTTTTTTTTCTTTTGCAAAGCTTAATGCGGCTAGATTTATTTTCCAAGTTTTCCAAGCTCTTTTCTTCCCTCCTCGCCGCCCGCCAGGCACCATAAACTCTCTATAAAAAGGAACAAAATGGGGTGTTGCCTCTACGCTTCGTTCTTGCAATGAGAGGGGATGTTTTACATCAAAGAACAGCTCTGCATATATTGTGGCTTGTAATGACTACCCGGACACATAAAGCTGTACATCCCTCGCTGTTTTTTTTTTTTTTTCATGTTTCACCAATTTTCTAAGAACAGCCATAGCACTGATGCCTGCGCGTCATCTGCTGTTTTTCCTGAGCCGTGGGTGGACACGCCACACTCAGTTGGCCCTCAAGGTTATATTTGTGATGTGTAATTACGCTGCCCTCTCGTATCCCTGCAGCTACCGACCAATTTAGCCTCATCCAGGAGGAGACACACCCAGCCTTGCTCTGTAATAAACCAAACTTTGGTTCTTTTTTTGTAAATTCCCATGATTAAATGTAACAGGTACAGGAGCTGGCGCATCAGCTGTCCCCTTTTGATATTCAATTGGCGTGGAGGAGCTTTGCATGGAACGTGCCAGAATCCGGCATTTGGAGAGCCCTTCAGCAGGCTGTTAATAGATGGCTGTGTGGGTGGTAACAGGCACATTTAGTGGCTCTATGGAGGGAGGTTAATGAGAGCATTCTAACGGGACTGCTGTTGTTCACTTTCACATCTCCCATCCTCGAAGTGTGAATTGTAATAGCTTCCTGGGGAGTGGGTGGGTTGACGGCAGAGACCCTAGATTCAAGATGGAGGCTCATTTGCATTTTCAGAGCTTAAGTTGAAAAGAAAACTTTGTGTGAAAAGCTTCAATTGTTTGAAAGTTTGTAGCCAGCACATTGTCAGCATATGATTTAGGGCTGATGCGATAATTAATTGATTATTGAACTTATTTACTAATGGATTAATCGTTAACTGAAGTAAGCAGACTCCAAAAAAGACCACTTGCTGAAAAAACATTCTCATTCTCAGTAATTAAGCCAAAAATGTACAAAAAATAGCTTCACCTAGTTCAAATTATGTAAATTAAAAAAAATCTATATAAATATATTTATTTATTTATTTATCTCCTTTTACCATTCAGTTCATGTTAAAAAAAAATTTACAAGCAGAAAGTGCTTAGCTTTTCATATGTTGATGTTGGACGTATATTATTTTTAGCTGCAGATGCATTCTTTGCTAAAAATAATCAAGCATACACTAAAGTAATATTTTGTTGCGTTTTAGGAAATAAAAGGATTTCCTGATTTATTTTTAAAAATTTGTAGAATTTTTTTATGTGCATCTTTTTATGCATTTCTAATATTACCTAAAGACTTAAATTAACAATCTAAAGAATGTACAGTTTCAATAATCGTTGATAGATTAATCAACAACTACAGTAGTTGTCAGTTGCAGCCCTAAAAAGATTTGACTCTGATTAATCAGCCTGTTTGTCTTTCAGGAGAGAAGCCTTTCATTTGTGAAATCTGCGGGAAGAGCTTCACCAGCCGGCCCAACATGAAGCGCCACCGCCGCACGCACACGGGCGAGAAGCCGTACCCCTGCGAGGTTTGCGGCCAGCGCTTCCGCTTCTCAAACATGCTCAAAGCTCACAAGGAGAAGTGCTTCCGGGTCACCAGCCCCGTGGTCCTGCAGACTAGCGGCTCCTCTGTGCCTGTCCGCCTCTTTGCCAACGCCTTCTCCTCACCTGCGTCCTCTTCTTCCTCTCCCACCACCGTCCCTGGGCCCTCAGCGGCAACCACCGCCACCACCTCGGCTTCGCTGGCCCTCGGCCCGACCGGAGCGCCCGTTCCGCAACAGGGCCCCGTCGCACACACGTTCTCCCATGCGCAGCTTCATTCAGCGCCTTCCCATCATCATCTCTCCAACACGCCACAGCAGGCCAATCCTCACAGCCACCACCACCTGGTGGTCCCTCCTATCGCCCACCTTCCACCTCCTCCTGCTCTTTTCAAGAGCGAGCCGCTTAACCACTGTGGGCATGAAGACAGCAGCTACCTGCACCACATGGCCCCCCTTGACAAGGGTCCCGGAGCGCCACAGCACCACTGAACCTGTGCGGCACCAAACCACACCTTGTTTGTCTTCTAAAAGCTCTGCCTCAGCTTCTCAAACGCAGGAACCGTAAGCCGGGTCTGCAGAGAGGAGTTGGTTGCAGACAGCAGGATGAGATGAAATGGGAGCATACGTGTTCCATCAGACAATGGAGGTTTCCTATGTAGACATGGTTCGACTAGAATTAATCTAAACTCATAAACATTAAGGATTCAAACTGTTGCACCTTCCGTGCAAAAGTGAGACATCACTTTAAAAACTGTTCAACCCTGCAAATGTTTTTACAATCGCTAGAAATTATTCTTCAGAAAACGACTTTGTGTGAACAAGTCTCTCCACATTTAAAGAGTGGAAACTGGTTTTCATCACAAATAAAAGCTGCTGATGGAACTCAAAATCCATAATACCTAGACTTCCTGGATCCTCAAAGATCTGTTTCACTGAACTTTGCTTTTCTTTTTATTTTGTTAATTTGACTCAAGGTCATACATTGGTCAAGACATGAGCTTTCTGTGCCGCTCATCCCCATAGCAATGTTGTACTTATTCTCCAAGCTGTAGTGCAGAAACCTCATGGGCAAACAAATGTTTAATGAATGTTGAAACTGGTTCTACCTGAGCCTTTTTTTCCTGTACAGCAGCCAAGGTTAAAGGGACAGTTTAGATTTTTATATCAATGTTCTGTGCTATAAACTGCAGGTAGATGCTCTACCTATAGTAGACAGATGTCATATTCAAATGAGTTTGTGTAAACATGAGCATACTTAACTTTTTGGCAATTAGGCTAACTGCTAAGAATCAGTTTAAACAAACTGAAAAAGTTTCTTTCTGTGTTTTTTAACTGATAAACGTCCCTGTTATAGTGTAAAATTGCATTATTTGAGACTCCAGCTGCCTCATCATCTCTAACTGACTGGTCTGCTCTAAGTCTGCCAAACATTTTGGTTTTGCATCAGCCTCAGTTTTGCAGTTTTGGAAATTATTTTGAGTTGACTTGTGATCAGTTAAACACAATCTGTTAATATTGCAACTCTAATGTAACCGTCCAGTGATGAGCAATATTTCACTAGCTCACAAAATGACCCCCCCAACAAAACTGCTTATCTTAAGATTTTCTACATTTGGTAAGTAATGCAATTGTCTCCCACGTAGCACTCTTAAATATATATGATGATAAATTATTCCAGTCAAATTTGTGTGGACAAAATGGACAAAGTTGGTCTCCTGATTCATAAGCAAAATTGATTTCTGTGGATTTCAGAATTGTTAATGATTATCATTGCCCTGCACTTAAGCTTTCCCACTCAGGTGTGGATCTGAACGAGTTGAGCCTCCGCTAAGTGATTAGACATTTAGACATTGCTGCAGCTTCCAGATAGGCTCTCATTTTCTGTAAAAATCAGTGTGAAAGGTACACTAAGATTTAAATTTGTGTAAAACTGCACATTTGAGAACTCAGAGCCACAAATTGACCATATTTTTGTTTCGTTTTGCGTTAAATGTCCAATTTGACATTTTTAAACAATGCCAACTGGGTCTAAATTTTCTTGCAAATGTAGTTGCTAAAACCAACTAAAAGCCCCTCGTCTGTTAGTTTTTCTTCGCTCTAATTATTTCTTCACTATTTTGCAAACTCACAATGCTATGTCATCTGTCTGCTACAGCTAAGGCAACAATTACTGATAAGTTCACAGAACCTCAGATCAAAACATTTGAACTGTCCCTTTAGGGCTGTCAGTCAGGGGGCAAACAGCAGTAGAGTAAAATGCAGTGCCATAGGTTACAGTGAGATGGGAGAGATTAGTTTTTTGTAAATTAAATTGAATCTAGACCAAGTCTCAGATTTATATCCGTAAAAATGGTGCTTTCCATTCCATTACTTAAAAAGTCCTTATTTTGCTTTCTAATTCAATTTTCATAACCTAATCTAGTGTGTAAGTGTGTGTGGGGAAAAATTTTGTTCTTTCAGCCTGGCTTTTCTACAGTGAAATTAATGTTGGACTTGATATTTTGTGATCGAGATCACTTTAATTAAACAGAATCTGCCCCAGGCACACACATATACACACACACACACACACATACCCCACACACATTCACGCATACACACGGTCACTGATTTACCTACAGTGACCAGTAGAACCACCTCAGCTTACAGGACAGTTGGTCAATGTTTGCTTTCAGAAAATGAATGACTGTCGAATAATACTGCCACTGTGAGGGGCCAGACATGTGGCCCCGTCTGCTTTTGTCCTCTACTTTATTTTATTTTTTTATCCCCACCTCCCTTTGCTGCTGTTCAAACAATACGGGTTACCATGTTAAAGGTCGCCTGACACACACACACAGTATACACAACTGGGACCTTTTTCATTGAAGCTCTTAACAGTATATTATGCATTATTCCTCAGCCTGTATTCCACGGTTTGATGTGGGGTGGTGTTGTAATATAGAGGCTAGACTTTAATTTTATTTTTTTTTATTTTCTGTACTGACAAACTTTGGTCCACTAAGGCCAGCGCATGTGTAACCTGTTGAATGTTGCCTAAGCCGAATGATGGTTTATAGATCATTCTTGTTTCATGTTCTCAGATTATTTACGTAGTTTTTAAGCTAATGAACAGTCGTCACATGCAATTAACAGCAGATCTTTACATACACTGAATAAAAGGATGTTTTTTTTTCTCATCTTCTGACAAACTTCCTGTTTTTAGACCAGATTTCAAATTACAAAAATCATTTTGATGTAAGAAGTACTAGAAAAATTAAAAGGGGATTCTTTGAGATTCTTTTATTTCTTCAAATTTAGATGTTTATTTAGTTCTCCTTAGTATTTGGCAGAATTGTAGGAATTTTGCCGACAGAAGTTGTTACTCGGTCACCTTTTTTAGCTCTTCCCACAGATTTTCTGTGGGCCTGAGATTGCAGCTTTACAATGGTCGCTCCAAAACTCCCTATTTGTTGTCCTAAAGTAACTTAATTGCTATTTTGGATGCTGATGGTCATTACCCAGTTGGAACAACTATTTAAATCCAAACTTTAAATTCCCAGCTGTCATTAAATGCTGCCTTTGTGTTTTCACATAATAATGTTTCTTCAAGATGCCATCTATTTTGTTGAGTACAACATAATCCTGCCACCCTCACTTCACAGTTGGGATTGTGTTTTTTTGGCTAGCAAGCTTCATTATTATTTTTTTTTCTGGAAAATTATTCAAAGATTATTTTGGTGTGAGAATTTTGGTTTTATTAAACAATAAGACAGGTTTTGAAAAATGTTTGGAATTTAACTTCTTCACTGAGTGAAGAAATTGATATTTTTCTCAGCAGTTTCAACAACAATCTTGGGTTGTTTCTCACATGTCATATATAGAAGCTACCTGACTTCTAAGCACTTGATGGCAGAACATTTCCATGGTGTTTATACAAGCATAAAGCCATTTGAACAGATGAACTTGACACCTTTAGGAAGTTTGGAAAAGTGAATCAAATGGAGCGCCACAACTCTCTTTCTGATTTCTCTCAATTTTCTGTAGTGTCATAAAAGGAAGCTGTGATTTTTAGGGTTTAACTTAAAATGCATCCTCAGGCAAGCCTCCATTTAACTCTAGTGGTGGGCATTAACCAATCAGATTCTTAATAAGCTATTACAACATCTGGTCTTTCATGAATAGTTTAAAAGCACCGTAATTTCAATGTAAAACCTTTGATGTTAAAAAACTCAAAACATATGAAAGAAATCCATCATTACTGACCTAAAATGGTAAAAGCTTAGTTTGATTTAATGTCTAACAATGAGAGGGTAAAAACTAACTTTTATATTGTGTATGTAAACATCTGGTTTCAACTGTTGATGTACTGTCAGCACATGATAGGAAATGTCAGGATAAGTGGCAGTGGTCAGAAAATGTCATGAAACTGGGGTTCTTCCGTTGGTCAAAAGTTGTGTGTCTGGTGTTTTAAGGAGCAGAAGCTGTGGGCTTGTGTTTGGTCTGAATTTTCTGGTTCTAGCCACCTCAGACTGACAATACATTGAGAGTGTATTGTGCATGCATTGGTCTCAGTTTGGATCTCTTACCCAAAGCTGCTTTTACAATGTGTCCCAATAATGTGTCATTAGAGGAGTAAATGGAGAGAGGGGCGGACAATAGGAATAAAATAACCCATCCTGTCATTCTGATGGTAGTCTGAAGTGGTTAAGATCAGTAGTTTAGCGCCAGGCCTGCAATTAGCCTGCCATCTCTGTGTGTCTTAATACTGCTGCAATATTATTTGCTATCATTCAATCTCTGTGGGCTCACTGCTGGGATTCAGGATTTTGCAGTAGGGGTATTTTCAGTCTTGTATTGTTCCTTTTATTTTTTATTTTTAAAGCCTTTTGTTATTCTCTGCACTTTACTGCTGCGTGGGTGATGCGCAGGGAACGGGGTTAGGGGAGGAGGTGACAATGCATTGTGGAGCAGAATGCAGTTGTGACTGTATGGGAAATGGATGGAGGCGACTTACTCTTGAGTGGATTTTTATTTTTTTTCTAAGGCAAGGAAAGGAGGAGAATCTGAGGTGGAGGTGGATGGTGTGCAAGGGACCATAGCTAATATACACATCTATGTACTTAACTTCATTTTGAGAAAAATAGCCTGCAATGTGGACCTTTCCTTCAAAGTACAAATGATGATCCTGCTGCTTTTGCGCCATCACACACACCCTTCCGTGTATTATTGGAAATAAGTTCGGCATTTTATTTTGTTTTATTTTCTCCCATTGTGTCAGTTTTCTCTGTTGCAGAATGATTCTCCTCCTCCTTTCTTTGTTATATAGAATGCACTTTCTACTAAAATCCTTGAGTAGTTAAAAATAACATTGTATATTCTTTAAAGATGTTCTAAAAAAAATCAATATTCTTTCCCATTTGTATTTTTAACCACTTAATGTAGCATTCTGTATTTTATTATGTGTCTGGTACAAAATGTGCAGCTTTATAATGTCCTGTTTTGTCCTTTTTGTATGTTTTCTGGAGAATGAGGATAAGTGATAAAAAGTTGGGCCTTTTTTGATAATGTACATTTAACTGACTGCTAACTTTGAAAAGTAAAAACTCGTAGCCATGATATTTGCTTCCTTGGATCCTTTTTTTCCCTTTTTATTTTAATCCTTTAAAACCCTTGCTATACAGAGATGAGTATATTGGACAAAACTGACAATTTAGGGTTTCAGGTATTGGGACATAATAAAATATCTGATCTACACCTGAGCTCAAAAGAAACTTTTAAAAATCCACATTTATTTATTAAAGGTTGAGGCTGTGTGAACCACTGCCACTAGTTGCGGAAGTTGGCTGAAGCATGACCCAATGAGTCTCATCTATGGTACAGAGATAAAAAAAAAAAACAGCACAGATGTTCAACAAAATGTAAGAAAAAAAAGAAAATCAACTTTTGAAATGCAGCAGCAGGAATATTAGAAAGGTGTGCATAAATAACTGCCTGCAAGTGCGGCAAACTGAAGCTGTATTGTCACAAACATTGGGTGATGTGAGAAACTGAAGTCACACAGAAAACACTTGCTTACTATTTCTTCAAGCTATTGAATTATTGGCTATTTAGTTTTTAGTTTATTCTTTTAATCTATTACATTCGTTGACTGAATGGTTCAGGTTGAATTGGCGCTTTTAGAATTTGGTTAGAGCAGGTCATTTTATTCTAAAAAAGATGTCTACTTTCTTTCTATTGTGAATGTGAAAAATATTGATTGGGAACAGCATGTTACTGATTGTGTGCTTCAGTTTAAATATGTTTCAAACAGAGATTTGCTCTAGCGTGGATTATTGCTGATTTTTGCAACTCTTGCTTCAGTGCGAGTCTTTTTCCTGCTTCTTTTACTTTCACTGCAATTTTGGAATAACAATTTACCAACTCTTTGCACTGAATCTGAGAATTTTGACATGTTTGTACTACTATTAACACCCCTGATATTTCCATTTTTTGGGTAAATTAACAAGATAGTCCCACAATTTCAGTCATTATCTTCGTAGGTACCAAAAAGTCTTCAAGTTTTATTGGTTTGTAGTGTTTCCCTCCCTTTAGGACGCATCACTGCTGGAAGAATACCTGCTTTCTCTTTACCAGGTGCGTTTAATGAGTCACATAATCCTATAGGTAGCAGAACAGGCCGATGGGTGCAGAGAAAAATGTGTGTGACTCACTGTTGGTGAGTGGGTGGCCAGGTACCGGGGCTCACTTCACGAGCAGAGGAGATAATAACACGCCGTCTGTACATCTCCATTCCCATTTGGGTTTGAAAATAGTCGGCCTCCCCAGCTGTTAGTCATTACGCCTTCTGGTGTCGAGGAGGGAGGAGGCTGCGTCTGTCGGCAGGCAGATAAAGAGAAGAGGGCTTCACGTCGCGTTTCTCAGCCGTTTGTTCATTCTGTGTGCTTCATTAATCAGCATACTTGCAGGGTCTTATCAGGAGGAACAAGCAGCAAACATGGACTCCCTTGCTGCGATACTGATGTTTCTCTGTAGTTAGTAAATGGAAACATAACCTTATTTCAGATTTTGATTACTTTTAAATCATTTCTATCCAGTCATCTCCTCAAATGTGAAACCCAACAACGAAAGCCATCCCTGTCCTGCCTTCACAACAGATATGGACTTGCAGATTCAAAGCATTTTATCATTAAAATGCTTTGAATCTGAAACGAGGCCAAGATTGATTTTTTTTTTTAAATCACTGTTGTTTTTTTTCAGCAACATTTAAAAGTCGAATGTAAATTTTTATCTCTTATAGCACCAGAACAGATTTTACTATTTAGGTTACAAGCCTCCAAACTGGAACCGCTTCCTGTTTCAGGATGCTTTTCTGCAAATCTGATCTATATTTTAGTGCTAAATAAAAGAATAACTTTTATTTAGTGCTCGCTAAATAAAAGTTATTCTGCCCATCTTTTTCCATATTTGACATACTCGTCAAGTGGAAATAAAATAACTGTCTTATATGGAGTGTTTGCATTTTGTATTCAGTCCCCTTTACTGAAATACCCTAAGTAAAGTCTATTGAAACCAACAGTCTTCAGAAGACACTTGAATAACAGTACATTTCTCAGTATAAAAAAATGACAAACATCCTTATGAACATGTTTATCACTTCTGTGTTAGCCTTGTAGTTTCTGCAATCATCTTAGATGGGTTTTTTTTTTGTGCTTGACACCAATAATTTGACCCTTCTTAAACATACTAACATCTTTCCCACAACCACAAGATGTATTTCCTCATCTTGTGAGGAAATGAGAAGCTGATCATTGTCTCAGATGGAGTTAAATAACTTCTGGCCAGTTGAGAGACAGTTGACCAGAGTAACTATCCAATAGGAAGCTCAAGCATTGCTTTGCTATTCAATCAATTCTCACAGAAAGACAAGAAGATGCCACCTTTGCAGATCTAGCCGACCGCCTACACTGACAATTAAAGGAATTCATTATTTGGAGTAACTCTGGAGGAACTCAAATGGTTTACAACTCAAGTAAAGCACTTAGTTGCTCAATTGACAACATGTAATCTTAATTGAAGAGTGGTTGTTTGCAGTTTGATTCAACAAACATGAGGAATGTGCTCTACAGAAGTGAACAAAATGAAATAAGTTGGCCAACATGCAAAACATTTCACCATAAACAGACTGGCACAATGTTCAAACATGCTGATTGGGTGGTCTTTTTCAGTAGAGTCTGGACATCTGGCCAGAGTTTAGTGGTGGATTTAAGTACAGGGCAATCCTGGAACTCGACCTGCTGGAGGCCGCAAAAGACTTGAAACAAGGACAGAACGGACAGAACGGCCCTTTCACTTGGTTTGGATGAAAATATGTTCAAAGTTCCAGAGTTTAAACAAAGGGATATTTAAACTGACAGCTTCAGAGACTCTCCCTCCTAAATTTGGAGAATTTTGCAAAGTAAAAAGTCAAAATCGTTCTAGTTTCTAGATGTGGAAAGCTGGACCTGTAAAGACATGAAGCTATGATTCCAATAAATAGCAGTTCTAAGACTGGACTCGGAGGGACAAAATGTGGAAAAGTTCAAAAATACTGTTGCAAGGAACTGTAAATGTTTCACCAAGAGATAAAGCTGATAATCTGCTGAACAAAAATAGATTAGGCTACATAAAAGGCTGCATGTATCGTCGATACTCGGAAAACAAAAAAAGTGGATTTGAATATGTAGAACCCTCATCCATAGTCCTGTTTCCCTCCCCCCTGTCTCTTCTTTGCCTCTACTCTCTCGTCTCATGAAAGTGCCGTGAACGCGCACTGTGGGCTGCTTTTAAATTAAATGGGCGGACTTCAATCCGCGGGCACGCTCTCAGCGGCTCCGCAGATAAAAGTGCGTGAGCCGCGGGTCGGCTGCTGCTGTAACTCTGCCTTCTGTAACCAACGAGACCGGATCGAACCTGACAACGAGGGATCGGAACCAGTGCTGGTGATGCATTTATGGCTTTAACCTTCTTCTCCTAATTTAAATCATAATATAAACATGTTTTTAAAATATACGAAAAAATCAGAGCTTATTGTGATTTTTTAGAATTATTTTTTTTCAAATAGCGTTTAGATTGCCTGCGATGATTGGTACTTATACTTTGAAGAAATGTTTATTTATTTTACCTGAGAATAGGTCGACAAATCGTTTCGGTCATTTAGACCAGCTTAAAACTCATATCAGCCAATTTTGCACGTGATTATTTCAGTTCCAGTTGGACTTATTTTATGAAGTCGTTCTCTTGGTGTTCCAATTGGAAACGTAATACTTTCTTCCTTTGCCTTTTAATGCAACTCGATACCTCAATTGTTCCCACACAGGTTCGGCCAGCCGCACAATTTGAAAGCCTCTGCAATTCAGGTCAAGAGAGCCGTGGGCGCAATTTAAGGTATGCATGTCATGAAAATTTCAAATGGAACCCGGTTTAACCGCTTTGTTCGCAGGATGTGCTTCAAACCATTTGCATTTGCAGTTGTGCTACTTAAGAGATCAGCACCGCTGCTTAGTCCTTCCTGATTCCTTAAAAGTTTTATGTTAGCCTATAGTTATGATTTACTTATTGTTCTTGTTATTTATTATTCTCATTTGTGGGATATAGGGGATTGGAGCTGGTCAGTCATGGGGGATTCAGTCTTCAACTGCTGTTATGTCCCCCCTCAGCCCCCAGGTGAAGAGGAGCAGCACAGGTCCAGGCATACAGACATCATGGCCTCCCATTCTGCTTCCATCTCCCCGGACAAACGCTTCATAATCTTCTTTGACTTCGATGAAACCATCGTGGATGAAACCAGCGACGACATGGTGGTGCAGGCCGCCCCGGGTCAGTACCTGCCTGGCTGGCTGAAGGACACCTATCAGCCCGGCCGCTACAACGAGTACATGCAGCGAGTACTGGCCTACCTGGCGGAGCAGGGCGTCACCGAGAGCGACATACGCAGCATCATGGAGAAGATCCCCGCATCCCCCGGCATGCTCACCCTCTTCCAGTTCCTGCGCAACCGGTCGGCGCATGACTTTGAGGTGGTACTGGTGTCTGACGCCAATACCTTCTTCATCGAGTCTTGGCTTCGACGCGCCGGGGTGCGCCAGCTCTTCCACCGAATCTTCACCAACCCAGCCACTTTCAATAAGAACGGTCGGCTGGTGTTGCGCCCCTTCCACTCCCACGAGTGCCAGCGGTGCCCGGACAACATGTGCAAGCAGGTAGTCGTCAGGGACTACGTGGCGCGCAGGACGCAGGAGCGCGGCCGCCCTTACCAGAGGATCTTCTATGTCGGGGATGGGGCCAACGACTTCTGTCCTGCGCTCTCGCTCGGGCCTCGAGACGTGGCTTTCCCACGCAGGGACTTCCCCATGCACCGGCTCATCACAGAAACCCATGAAGCCATGCCCGGGGAGTTCAAGGCGGTCACAGTGCCTTGGGTCAGCGGGGAAGATGTGATTACGCGACTGAGGAAATTAGTGGCGGAATAGAGAATTGGATAGGAGAGCAGAAAATTAATTAGTAATAGACTATTTAACGTCACACTCTCAGGTGAAACTCCTGAAAAATATAATTCTAATAGCAATAAGAAACCTTTG